GCGACCCCCGTGACCCAAAATGGAATAAGCGGGTAAAGATAATGGATGGATGGATGTTTGTTTGTTCTTTAGTTTTTAGCAAGTCAAATCGGTTCTTCTCATCCTGAACATTTCATTGTACTGTTAACCTTGTGTTAACCTGTATGACAAATAAACAACATAACTCACAAGTTGGCCTTTTCTGCCAATGTAAAGAGCCTTTCTTCATTAAACTGGACCGCACCTCCAACCTGCAGCAGCTCCAGCAGAACCTACAAACCCATTAAAACAAGGACAGGCAACATTACTTTGTAATATTAAAACCGCTGTACATTTGAGAGCAGTTTCACAGAAAGTCCTAAATTTAAATAGCGAATGATGACTACAGACTAATTGAAAGTTGCTTCTATATAGTGAAGTAAAAAGTCTCAGACTTTGTTTAGTCCTGAATAAATTAAGTTAATTTCCTAAAAGACTAACTGAATGTATATGTTAAAGTTTTTGTTTAAAACTGTTAATTTCAATAAAACAAAAAGATAGCAGAGCTTGTGGAAGCATTATGTACGCGTTTGTACCTGTTGCCTTTCAGTGTGCCGAGAATCATCATCTGGGCAACACAGGAACTCTAGCACCTGAACAGACCAAGTAAAGGTCATTTCAACACTGAACAAAAACAAACGTTAAAGCAATACATCTAAAAGGAAAAATATATAACTGTGCATGTTTTACATAAAATTATTATTATTTTTTTTTTATTATCATTAGACAAACACAGCTGATAATGACGTTAGCAACACTATACCTGATCAAAAAGGTTCCTGTTCACAAAGAGTGTGTTGTTTGGCTTGGCCAGTTGGCGGGCCAGAAAAGTAAAGAGACCACCCACTTGGGATGGAGTGAAGTCTGGGTTGTCCACCATTACCTTTATCCAAAAAAATCATAACAAAGATAACATAAGTTTAAATACTGACAGCAAATAATAGCATGAGAATGTCATTTTAATAACATTTTACATCTGGCTGTTCTCTGCAGGTATCGTCACAGTGAATCATCTGCCTCCAGTACATCCTATCTCTGCATGCTCCTGTTAATATACTCCTTCAATACAGCCATGAACTTTATCATTGGCGGCTTTATGTTCAACATCCCTTGATCAATACATCCACTATTCCTTCTCGTCTCTATTCACTCCAATCCATCTGGATGCTAATCTTAATGGCCTGTTGATTTGAATGAATTACTCCAGATATCTAAACTCATCCATCTTCAGTACTCTTTGCAGGTTCACAGTAACACCTGTCTCCCTCTTATTCACAGGCATGGATACTGTCTTTCTACAACTGACTTTCATTCCTCTTCGCTCTACATCTCTAGGCTCTCTTCCACCTACTTTCTACTCTCTCTACAGATCACGAGTAGTTAGGCTGCTGATATTACATTATTATAAAATTCACAAGCTTTGTTTTTCCAAAGTAGCATAGAGAAATGAACACGCTCACATGCCACACACACACACACACACATATAAAACAACATATAAACAAAGCAGTGTTTCACTTGTCCAGATGATTTAAGGAAGATATTTCTTTGTGTCAGGAGAAACGATACACGAGAGTGGAGAAATTTTTATCTAATTTCATCTCATGATGCCCAGGCAGTGGATGGACATGCTGCTTTGAGCAGATCGGTTTCACTAGTTGGTCAGTGACACTTTACATCAGCTTATATTCATGGTCTTAATGGTGCTGCTGTGAAGTCACACATGGCACCACAGGCGGCTGCAGTCAAACCTTTTTCTGTACTAAGAAGAGTTACCTTAAATGGAAGACAGCAGAGTGTTTTTGTATTACCCTTTTTCAGCACATAGGAGCAAAACCAATAAAAAAATATCCATTGTTCAAAGAGACATTAGTGTTTTTCACTAGTTCGTATGTACCGGTAACTATGATCATGTAGACACAGCATGTGCAATGAATGCAGCTGATCAGGGTTGGTAGATAAATTCAAAAAGTTATTTCCCCCCTCCTTTTTTTGCACATTTTCACCAAACATAACACACACCTCATCTTACAATACCCTTACTCAGCACATATGACAGTTTAGGTCAAAATAATGATTTTAAAGCAACAGTACTATAGTTCATATTTCCTTATCTGGCAAACCTACTGACATGGAACCTACAGCGTTTTCATGTTAACCCGCTCTTTTTTGTTTATTTCTCCCAATAAACATTGAAAAAACAAGTTCATGTATGTTTATTGTCATTCACATCACATGTGGTACATGAGGTGGAACAAAATTGTGTACTCAGGGTCCCAGTTACACCCAAAAAAGGTGTAAAAAGAAACAGTATATAAGGACCTAAGATATACTGGTACACTAAAGGCTCCAGTATACTGCCGCGTATGTCAGTTCACGCGTACGTACGCGTGTACGGTACGCAGAGGGTTCAGACATGATACTCCAGCGTACACCCCGAGCAGCTGCAGAGCAGTTTCACAGACAAGGGGCGTTTACCTTCGGGACAAATTGAGGGCGCCGATTGGTCATTTGCTGACACGCCTACTGGATTGATTGACAGGTCGGAAAAAATTTAAAAAAGCGAGCGCTGGCAGCCTCAGCCACAGCGGTGTTCTGTGTTTATATGTTGTTAATAAAAAGATCTAAAAAAAAAAAAAACAGAGTGCTGGCTCTACAGCCCACACATCAGACCAGCCCACCAGGAAATCTCCAGACCCTCCTGCAGCCACGCTGGACCTGAGTTTAATTCGCTCGTGACAAATTCCTCCATTTCTCACCATTTCAGTCATGGCATCAACGGAGGAGGAAGAGATCACTGCCTCTTGACAAAAAACAAAAGAAAAGGCCAGATCAGGGATGAAGAAGGGGAATTTAATACATTGGTGTCGCATACAAAACAGTCCGTCGCTGGGCAGTTTATTGTGCGACACCGCGTACGCGTATGCGGTCGTAAAAATTTGAGCTTTGCACGGAGGGTACGCTGGGGGGTACGCTCGTACCTCTGCGTATGTACGTGCGTACCTCTGCGTATGGATGTACGCGGCAGTATACTGGGGGCTTAAGATATATGCTAAATGAACGCTAAACAGTACGCTAAACAATAACGTTTCCAGAGGTTGCTTTTGTGTCAACAGGGCCTTAGTCTAACCAGCACCTTCTCATAGTGGATCAACCAGTTTGCAGGTGACAAACAAAACTAGCTGTTCACATGATCAAGGAGGATCAGCCCAACAGTAGATTGTTAGTACCCTGGTGGCTGCTTGCTATTCATAGAGGGCTGAGGAGTGATACTCGTAATAACAGCATTGTAAGAGGGGGATAGTTGAATACGGAGGCCTCCACCCTTGTTTAAGAGCCTAATGATCCTCCATCGTGAGGGGCAAGAAGTTCCAGTTTAATCTGCATGTGAATCTAAGTACATAACGAGGCCTCTCATGCAGCTCTATACAGCTTGGAACTCCACACACTCCAGAAAATGTTCTGTTTAATCATGCATTTGCATAAAGCAATAACCAGACTGCAAAATGATTTTGGGAATATTACCTGAAGTAAGATGTCTACTATTCTCTGCTGGTACTCAAGAGCCTGCTTGTCATTCTGGAAGTCTTCAAATGTCTGGAATAAAGTGAGAATAAAATTTTAGCTGATAGATGACAACAGATAATATAATCAACAGGTAACTGCATTCTTTATAGAACAGTTTTAAAATGTATTACTCAGATAAAAACTTTTCTGTGTTTCTATAATTTTACATTTAAAATTTTCCATGTATGAAACAACCTGTAAACCCTTAAAATAATTTACTCTGTATCTTTTTTACCCATTCAGGCAATCATGATATGCCAATATGACCCTGCTAACATTTCCACCAATAAGTTGACACTGGCCTGCCCAGCCTTCATTGATTGCACTCCCATGTAATAATTCTAATATACGGGTAATTGAGCTATCCATGTTTGATACTGACTGAAATCAAAAAGAAGAAAGAGGTATTTATACAGCTACATATAATTAAGGCAATACCATCTTTAAACCTCCTAAGCAAATGTTTTATAATATAAAAGAGTAAAAAATAAAAATAAAAAACTCACCATGGCAAGTACATTGAGAAATTCACGTGTGTCAAAATGAAGGAGTGTTTGAATAAATGGGAAAACTTCTTCATGTGAGGCATTGCCTGAATGGAGACGAACCAGGAACTCAAACACCTGATACGGACAAACAAAATTAAAAAAAAATATATATATACATATATATATATATTTAAAAGCTTGTTTTAAATTATTGGAATTACTATTCTTGCTGTGATAAATCAGTGATGTTATATTTGATCAGTGTCACAAGGCTGTGTACTGAGCCCCACGAACTTTCTTTACATACCTGATTCTTGACTTGAACAACAAGATCTTCAGGGATGTCTCCTAGTGGATATGCCCGACCAGCAAGACAGCAGCTACAAACAAAAACACATGCAGGTACACTGGTATGCACAGACACAAATCAACTTATTTTCTTTTACAAATTTAAACTACACTCCACTAAATGACACTACACCCCAAAACTGTTTCATTACTCACAATTTAATGCAATATAGTATGTGAGTTAAGTAGTTAAAAAATGTTTTTCACAAATAGTTATGCAAAGCAGCCCTGAAATAAAGTGAAAGACTGAGCAGTAAATCTGTATTAGTTTGATATACCTTATATAAACCAGAAGTTTGTTCCCCATCACCACATCCTCATCTGAAAAAAAGAGATGAATTTCAATTTTCTATGTACTTCTGAAACCATGCTTGACTTTAGAAGAATATAATATATAAAGGCCGTTACTCTACTCACCTGTTAGGCTCCTCCCTTCCTTAACCCTTGGGCCAATCACTGAAAAGAGTTTCTGAAATATAAAGTGGAGTGTTATTATACACTTTTTGGCTTCTAACATTTTCCTTAAAAAAACAGCAATATTTTACCAAAATGTTTTGCAGAGGCAAAACAAATAAAAAAATTCAGAATAACTCAGAATCATGTGAGCTCAACTTTAGCACCTAATTAGGCTTCTCAGTTTATAAGCAATAAAGATTCTTATCATCACTCATCCAATATTCTCAACACCATTTATCGATTTCTATTCATAAAGCTTTAAAACACTTTAATACGTCAAAATGTGGCTCGATTAGGAATAGTTTGTGTTAAAGAATTTTTGTTCAAAGTTTATGGATGTTTTTAATTACTATGAGAATGTTAACTCTGCCCATGAACATTGGGTTAGAGATTCATGAGTCTAACAGTCTCAGGGTAGAAGCTGTTCCTCAGTCTAGTGGTTCTACATTTAATGCTCCTCAACCTCCTTCCTGAAGGGAGCGGGACAAAAAGTGTGTGTGCTGGGTGAGTGGGGTCCTTCATGATGCAGGTGGTCCTCTTCCTGCATCTGGAGGTGTAAATGTCTGTGATGGTGGGGAGGCTGACTCCAACAGACTTCTGTGCAGCCTTCACCACTCTCTGCAAAGCTTTTCTTTCTGCAGCTGTGCAGCCTCCATGCCACACGTTGATGTTGGAGCACAGGATGCTCTCCACTGCACACCTGTAGGAGGAGGTGAGGAGACTCCACTGGTCCATGCTTGTGAGCTCCCTCCAAGGTCATCCCCAACATGTTGGCGAGTCCCAGAAGCCACAGGTAGCCTGCGATTCTCACAAATTGCTTCCATCTTACGTTTTAGCTTGTAAATCGGCTGATTTTGAGTACTCGAAGCACAAACCAAACCTTCACACAGGGTCGGCAACTTTGCCATGGCCGAAACTGCTGCCGTCATCTTCTTTAATAGCCGATAACAAAGGTATCCGCTGGTGCCCAGAGGTGGAAAGAGTACTGAAAATTTGTACTCAAGTACAAGTACTGTTACACTGCTTAAATTGTACTCAATTACAAGAAAAAGTACTGGTGATATAAAAAATTTAAGTAAAAGTGCAAAGTACTCTTCTCAAAAACTACTCAGAGTATTAATTACTTTTTAACCAATTGATGTTTTATTGTGTTGTCAATAGAAGTCATTCAGTTTGATTTATTGTATATAATATCTACATTTAAAGCACATTTCTCAGATGCTCAGAAGCTCCGTCTTATTTTAGTACCAGGCAAACCGATGGCAGTGACAATATCTAAGGTCTTTGCATACTTAGCTAAACTAATAACCCCCATATACAAACAATAAAGAAGCAATATCATGCAGGTAGTTGTAAAACCTTGTATACTGCAATTGTCATAGCTCTGCTCTCTGTCAGCTCCTCTGTCATGCTGCACACTCAGTAATCACTCAACTCATGTCACCTGTCACCGCTCATTATCCCACAGCTCCACCACCTGGTCCAGTCAGTACTTAAGTTCACTCATTCCTCTCAGTCTGGGCCAGATTCTCTATCCTGTCTCATCAGCAGTAGACTTTCCAGCATTCCATTGATTGACTCATCACGTTCATGACCCTTGCCTTGACCACGACCACGCTTTTGCCTCAGCCCTCGTCTGCTTTTGCTCATCTGATCAGGTACCGACTCATGCTCTTGTTTTTTTGACTCTCTTTTTGGATCACGTACTGGATACTTCTGCTGAACAACTGACTTCACGTTGCAAGCCTGTTGGACTCCGTTCCAGTGGACCTTAACATCAGTTCTACTTCTACTGGCAGCCCGCCACTACAACACTACCCAATCACAAACTACCAATCAGAAGATCGGAACCAGCCCAGAACCGGACCTACTCCAGAGTTTTACTTTATTTCACAATAAATCTTTTAACCCTCTCAGTGGTTGTTGTTGTTGTTTGCGATCCGGCCTCTGGTTCATGACAGCAATATGTTTTTTGAGATTAGATGCTGAAGTCTTGTAAGCTGCTATCACCGTAGAGATCAAACAGAGTTTGCATCTGGACTCTGTCTCCTTTTCATCCTCTGTACATGAAAAATTCTTCCAGGTACGGCCACGGGTACTCGTCCTCAGCCTTTCCCTTGTCATTTTCTATGTTTGTCCTCTGTCTCCATTTTGGCTTTTTCTCCAAATCTTCGGTCCACAAATGACTTTCTACTCTGCAGAGTTGTCCTTTACTTATGTCATAGGTAATTGACATGTTTGTGATCTGAGGGCCTTATTGGCTACAAAGATGCAGATGAACAATTTGAATATTAATTCAAATTGCGGCTGTACTCAGTAACGACTTCTGATTTTAAAAGTAGCTAAGTAGATTACATGGTCTAAATTGTACTTAAGTATGAGTAAAATACACACTTGAAATAAATACTCATAAAAGTACAAGTACCTAAAAAATCTACTTAATTACAGTAATGTGAGTATTTGTAATTGATTACTTCCACCCCTGCCGGTGCCAAAAAGCAAAAACCCTGCTATCAAGATTCCAAAGATATAAACATCTTCGGCGTCCTCCCTGAGACAATATGGAAAGGCATATCAGCTCCCAAACTCTCCACGGATTCGTGACATATCCTGCCGCATGCGTCTCAGTGAGGCATGAGGGTTTTCCAGGACCCTGTCGCTTTGTTGAAAAGATTTTATCGATTGCGTTGAAATAAAGGGCTGACCATATCCGTGACAGTAGTTTTTGTTTCGGAAGATGTGTAAATAGGAGCTCCGATACACAAGACAGACAGCAAAAAGGCAGGAGGACGGGAAAGGGAAGAAAATATATATCCACCTTGCACAAGAGCGAATGAGGGGAAAAAAATGTTTTAGTTTAAAGTATGGTATGGTATGGTATGAAGTTTATTCATTTTAAAAAAGTACAAAACAATTCCATAACAATATATAAAAATATACAAAAAAAAATTTAAAATGAAAGGCAGCAGAAAGAAGAAAAAATCTTATTTTATCTGCCCCTTTTTTCAAACAATTATTTCAGACATAATAATTTTCAAGTAACAGAACAAAATGAATAACTTTCTAATTTTTCTAATTCTAATACAAAACACACACTAAGCTACTTCATATATACTTTTTTAACAATTCAGTTTTGATCTTTTTCTTAAAAGTACACATTGACTTGGCATTTTTTACATCACTCTCTAGACCATTCCACAATCCAACTCCTTGGATTGAGGTAGACCTTCCCTTCAGACTAGTTCTGAATTTTGGTTTGACAAATATTTCTATCCCCTTAAGATTGTAACAACTTTGTCTTTTAACAAAATTTCTTTGGATATTTAACGGTAATGTGTGATTTTGAGCCCTATACATAACTGATAAAATACTGTAATCTACCAAATCATGGAACTTCAATAACTTCAGTTGATAAAATAATGTGCTTGATGGGTGACTGTAATGCTTTCTGGTGATACTTCTTACAGCTCTTTTCTGTAAAATAAAAATAGGTTTTGTAAAGGTTTTACATGCTTTCCCCCAAAACATTAATGCAATAGATTCAATGTGGAACAATGATTGTGCTATACAACATGTACAGAGCTTTATCATTTAATAATTCCCTGACTTTGTATAGTACTGCAATAGATTTAGATATTTTTGTTCTTACAGAATTTATGTGATTTTTCCATGTTAGCTGTTGTGAAAAGTGAACCTGTTATGATTTTTGAGGTTTTTTTTTTAGGAATGCTCAACTTGGAGTGTTGACAGTTTAAAATGTTTAAATTTTCCAAAAGGTTTGCAAAGAAACTATTTTACTTTTATATAATTTACACTTCCTTTACAGATATCATGGTGACACCAGTGAGCTTCTGGCAGCAGCTTTAATGTTTATTTTGATCTTGGTCTTCTTTAAACTTTTTCTGCAGTTATACATCAAACTCTCAGCATTTTGTCAGCTTAGATTATTCCAATAGTAAGTCCTGAATTAATTTTGGGGATTATAAAAGAAAATGATGACTGTTCCAATTTCATTGAGCAGATGCCTACATTGGCACAAAGTGTTTGTACCTTGGTAAATGTTGCTATTAAAGATCAACATAAAGAAAAGTCAAAAGACAGTTTTAACAAAAAATATTCCAAACAACATAATACATCTGTATTATTTCATAACGACAGCCTCTGAATAATTTTAGTATTTTGCCAAAACATTACAAAGAGAATGTTGGCTTTTTGCTTCCTTTCAGCAACTAAAATAATGAAGGTTCTTAGAACTTACCTCCATTGGTGTAATGTAATCATTCATGCCTCTGTTGAAGATGTAGATCACTGCATCATACAGCTGATTGTTCCAACATACTTGAACCACCTAGATACAAACATGTACAAATAGAAGTCTTAAATATGCCAAAAAAATACAGTGATAAAAATCCAAAAGTAACAATCAGAAGAGAAATTAGCGTCACTCCAATTTCCACATTACATGAAATGAAAAAAAAATGAAAAAGTCCAAAGCAGATTTTTGTATCAATTTACAGACAAATGTGTTGATTTTTGGACAAAGACAGAAAAAAGTGTTTATCTTGTATATTGCACAGTTGTTTTATTTACAGTTCTTCCTATACATGCATTTACCTGTTGTATGTCCAGGTTGGTAACATCTAAATGGACAATGCATCTCTCTAAGCTGTCCATCATCCCACTATCATGGTAATGGGCGAGGAGGTCCTTCATAATGGGTGTGGTTAGGTGACCAAGGCGGTTGGTGACAATATACGACTCCAGGGACTCCAGAAAAACACCCTTAGCAATCATGTTCTCTACCATCCGTGGATACAGTTGGTTGAACAGCAGGTCACTGTTACAACAAGCACAAACAAATAAATGTCAACATCTAGGACTTGTTCAATGTAAAACAAACAACTGTAAGGTTGCTCTTAGAGTAAATACCGCCCCACAATCAATTCATGTAATTAATCATTACAATATCAAAATGTAAGTCATAAAACACAAAATATTTGAACTTGGACTAAAATGATTTTGACTGATGGTCAGGTTACATATTGTTTCCATTCCTAAAATCAGACGTTCAGATCAGGCTTTTCACGCAGCAGAAAGCTGCCAAAGTTCGCAAGTAAAAACTAAGCAGAAATTCTGCGAGGTGCACATTCAGACCGATCCAACAGGGTGTGACTCAGGAGACACTGGTCGTTCTCCAGTCAGATGGTCAGCATCTCACCATGTGTCAAAGTACCCTTGGACTTTAGTTTGTGTGTTTTAGGTGTGTAAATGGTGAAACAGTCTACTTACGCCTTTTGCAGCAGCAGGCAATAATCCACCAGTACTGGAACCACATCCTGAGAAAACCATAGAAAATAAGGCAGAAATGAGATTGTGTTCATTTCTTATCAAACAGTTGTACCTGAAACATTTAATTACAAACCTCCATGAACTGAGAAGGACGGATACAGTGCAAATGTCAACTTTTTTTTTTTTTTTTGCTTAAAAATCTGAATACAGTACAACTTTTATTTGGTAATCTTTATGCTTGGTGTAAATATATGATATGCATTTGGAAAAAAATAAGTGACATATAAACATTTCCTAACTACATCAGTTTTTTCCCTAAATTAATTTTAATTTTTCTTATTAACCTTTATTTAACCAGGCAAATCCCATTGAGATCACAGATCTCTTTTGCAAGGGAGGCCTGGACCTGAAGGCAGACTAACATGCATGTTTTTGGTCTGTGGGAGGAAACCGGAGTACCTGGAGAAAACCCACACAAGCATGAGAACAACATGCAAACTTCACACAGGAAGACCCCAGGTCCAACCAGGGATTGAACCCAGGACCTTCTTGCTGTGAGGCAACAGTGCTAACCACTGAGCCGTCGTGCTGCCACATCTTACTGTATTAGCTTAACTAATTGTATTTTGGTGCTGTACATGTAGCTAACTCAGTACTTTTAAGAAAAGTTTCTTCAGATATATTAAATTTACCTGGAAATGCTGCTCCATTACTTGGATCTTGCCGTGTTCTGGACACTTTTTTAAAGCGCACTCTGCAAACTGAAGAAGAATCTCCACCATCTGTGAACAGACAGAGTTCTTTGAGCTGACATCTAACAAGGTAGATACATTTAGATACACTTTACACTTTACACATACATTAGATACATTTTTGTATTGAAGTTTTTTTTTGAAGGTAGATACATCCATCAAAAAAAGAAAAGAAAAAGAAAAATCCTTTTACCTTGTCACTGACAGCAGCTTTCCTTTTCTGTGAATCTCCATGAAGACCTTGAACAAAGATCCAATAAAATACAGTGCTGACATTAAATGATCCAGATTGATCAAAACGTTCTTTTTTAATGTGAGTCAAACACCTGACAAGACGTTACATTTTCCCTCCCCTTCTCTTTGCTAACATGTGTTATGAGACCGTGATCAGGGTGGTTTACTGATGTGCGATGTACATTTCACTCACCAACCACAGCCTTAGCAGTTCCCTCATGAAACGACCAGGCCAGAGTGAGAGCTTCAACAAAATCCTCCAGTTTCAGCAAACAGTCAATGCGCTGCACACAGAGAAAGATAAACTAGACTTTTATACGTTTAATTTTATTTACGGTAGTTTCCACAAAGTGTTCTACAGTGTCATTCTAATTAATCTAGTTCTACAGTCAGCACTTACTAGTTCAGATTCACACTATGTCTTGTTCTATATCTTGTAAAATAAAACAAATACAGTGATGTAAATATTGGAAGTAACAGACAACTTTCCATTTGGAGGAGGATTTAAACCTAGGCTACCTCCTCAAGTTAAGGATTGTTTGATTCTAATTTCCATTGCTTTTACTCTTCTTTTTAAAAAGTAATTTCCCTGAAAGTTGTAGCTGGATTCTGACTGCCATTGGTGTGTAACTACAATGTAACAAAGTAAAAAACTACCATACGTACCTCCTTCCAGTTCCTTAGTGACAAGACGTGAGCCGACTGCAAAGCAAAATACAACCATACTGTTATAAAATAAGATGCGACATGTTTGTTGTTTAGAATTACCTTTAAAGATTAATATTTTGAGGTTTTTAATGAAGAAAAAAAATCATAAAATGTAATACATGTAACCACTAAATTAATTCAATTCATTTCAATTCAGTTTATTTTTATAGTGCCAAATCACAACAGATGTCATCTCAGGGCACTGAACAGAAACATTCACACACATACAAAAGCCAATTAGCAAAGTTCTCTATCTAAGGAAGAAAATTAAATAAAAAGATTTAAACAAATGATATGATAAACTCATTTTAATTCATATTCTAAAAGAAATGCATGATTACGATGGAGCTTTAGGGCCACGCTAAGAAAAAAAACAAAAGCCATAAAATTACAAGAATGATGTCCTAGTATTACGAGAATAAAGTCGAACAAAGTCTTAATATTACAAAAATAAAAACATACAAGACTATATTTTTGCAGCTCTCGTTTATTGTTTTAAAAATTTCCACGAGTTGGATCCACAACACGACCTGTCAGTCAATCCAGTAGTCATGTCAGCAATCAGAAGCTAAATGAGTTGTAATATTATCTGAACTCCGACACAATAAAGCAGCGTTTACACATTTTAACTGTGGTAAAATGAAGAATGTTGAGTATCTTGTTAAGTTATACTTTGGTATTGGTTTTACAAATAAGGAGATAATCTGTTAGCACATCAGCATCAGATTATCAGCATCTGGACTTTGAACCTGCTTACAGTCAGGTGGTACACTGTGATGGGCTGCAGCAGCTCTCTGCAGGTAAGGAGCATTTAGCTTCGGATTAGTCATTTGCTGACACACCTACTGGATTGAATGATTGACAGGTCGCGTTGTGGATCCAACTCGTGGAAAAATAAAAATAAATAAACAAGAGCTGCAAAACAAAGTCTCGTACGACTTTATTCGACTTTATTCTCATAATATTAGGACTTTAGTCTCGTAATTTTTTAATTTTTTTTATTCTTAGCATGGCCTTAAAGCTCCGTCGTACATGATAAAGATATTTTTTAATGACCCTTTTTTAAGCTGCCCCCCTTAGGGGTTGTCACACAGATCATCTGCCTCATCTCACTCTATCCCAGCCTCCTCCTCTGTCACACCAACTCTGAATATTCCCCTTCATCTTTGAAGCTCTACTGTGGTTTTCCTCTTTTCCTCTTCTCTGGCAGCTCCATGTTCCATATCCTCCAATATAACCACTATCCCTCGTCTTCATGTCCAGACTATCTCAGCCTTGCCTTCCTAACTTTGTCTTGCTCGACCTGAGCTGTCCCTCTGTCGTACTCATCATTAATCCTGTTTATCTTGGTCATCACCAATGAAAATCTTAACATCTACATATCTGCCACCTCCAGCTTCATTTCCTGTCTTTTTGTTAGTGTCATTCATCTCCAAACCAAACATCATAATAGGTCACGCAACCATCTTGTAAACCCCTTCTTTCTCTCTTGCAGCTTTCCTTCTGTTATAAAACCCCACTGACCCTCATCTTCATCTATTCCACCCTGCCTGCACTCTCTTCTTCACCTCTCTCACGTACTACCTGTTGCTTCCTGTCTTGCTTTTACTGACTTCCACTCCTCTCTTTTCCAGAGCATACCTCCACCTCTCCAGGCTCTCTTCCACCTGTTTCCTACTCTCGTGTTGATCACAATGTCATCTAGTCATCATAGTCCATGGGGACTCATGTCTGACCACATCTGTTAACCTGTCATCATCACTGCAGACAAGGAGGGGCTCAGAGATGATCCCTTGAACCCATTTGTCACTTCCACTATATCACCACGGTCTTATTGTCCTTGTCCATGTTCTGAACTAAACTCACAGAATTCTTTACCACACTTGACTTCCTCATACAGTCCTTTTTTTGGCACCCTATTATATGCTTTCTCTAAATCCACAAAACCAGAAACAATTAAATAAAAATACACTCATTATAAAATATTTTTTGGGATATTTTTGTAAAAATCCCTCTGTATAGTTTGTGTGAAAACTGTAAATGTCATGTGCTGCTTTGAGTCTTTGGGATGTTTGAATTTAATTGGTTATTCAGGATTGCTCCTATTTAAGTCAGAGTCCAACTGTTAGAATTGTTTTTGTCTGATGAAGGTCTAGTCATGAAAATATCATGATTAATTCCTACTGCAGGTTTATCAGTGTACAGGAGTTTAATATAGCTTTTCTGGATAAACTGAATTATGAAATAAGATCAAAAGAAAATCTATTTAAAAGCTATTTCTTTGTTTTTTTTGGTGAGTGTGTGTGTAAGATATAGAGTAGACAAACCAGAGAACACCAACTATCTGCTACTGGAGTCATACAGTTTATATTGAAACTGATTTGATCTCTGTAACAAAAATCTGTAACTAATAAAATATTTCTATACATTTATTGTTGAACACCAGTGTGACGTTTCTGGTGTTTACTGCTCTCCTAAAGCGTGCATATATAAAGACAAACAGTAGAAAACCCTACCTTGGTGCCCAAACAGATAATCTGACCAGCATAACTGGAAAGTGACTGATAACAGGCCTTTTCTCCAACTAATGCCTAGAAAAAAAGATACACAAAAAAAAACCATTGAAATTATATTTAAATCACATAATTTCCAATCGCAGACTCGTGAAGCCTAATGTCTTGAGTTAAACTTTGAAGAGAAACTTTGTTCACGTTCTGTGATTTTACACAAAACTGGAAATTCGCTCCTTTGAGACTACAGGTTCGGTGGCCTCAGGATTCCATCTCTGATCTTTGCAGATGATGTGGTCCTGTTGGCGTCATCTTGCCGTGATCTCCAGCTCTCACTGGAGCGGTTAGCAGCTGAGTGTGAAGCGGCTGGGATGAGAATCAGCACCCCCAAATCTGAGGCCATGGTCCTCAACAGGAAAAGGGTGGCTTGCTCTCTCCAGATCGAGGGTGAGGTTCTGCCTCAAGTAGAGGAGTTCAAGTATCTCTGGGTTTTGTTCAAGAGTGAGGGAGGAATGAAGCGTGAGATTGACAGACGGATTGGTGCAGCGCCTGCAGTATTGCGGACTCTGTACCGGTCCGTTGTGGTGATGAGAGAGCTGAGCTGTAAGGCAAAGCTCTCTGTTCACTGGTCAGTCTATGTTCCTACACTCACCTATGGTCACGAGCTCTGGGTAGTGACCGAAAGAATGAGGTCGTGGATACAAGCGGTTGAAATGAGTTTCCTTCGCAGGGTAGCTGGACTCTCCCTTAGAGATAGGGTGAGAAGTTCGGTTATCCGGGAGAGACTAGAACCGCTGGAGAGAGAGTAGAACCGCTGCTCCTCCACATCGAGAGGAGCCAATTGAGCTGGTTCAGGCATCTGCTAAGGATGCCCCCTGGACGCCTCCCTAGGGAGGTGCTTTGGGCATGTTCGACTGGGAGGAGATCCCGGAGAAGACCCAGGACACGCTGGAGAGACTATGTCTCTCGGTTGGCCTGGGAACACCTTGGAATCCTCCCAGAAGAGCTGGAAGAGGTGGCTGTGGAAAAAGATGTCTGGACGGATGGATGGATAGCTACTAATGATTATTTTTTATTTCAAGTCCTATTCATTGTCTTAAACATGACACTATTATTGATCCAAAACATATGAATGTTGACTTGTGGTCATGCTTCCCACTACCTTCTCCCTCACCAGAGCCTGGGAGACGTTCCCTCCAGTGGCCAGTGATTTGAAATGTCTGCTGTTATAGACCAGCTGCACCTGCTCCAAGTCCAGAGTCTCCAGAACTACCTGGGAGGACCGGTCCACCACTTGCAGCTTCTCATGGCTGTCCACCAGAACCAGAGTAGAACTGTTGATCCACTGCAGGGAAACAGTGACAAGGGAACCACCAGTTTTATCTTCTTCTTACAAATACAGTGCAATGTTAATACTGTAATAGAGGAAACTGCAGTATTCATAAGTAAAAGAGGTCAAAGCATTGAAAGTGATCCACTAAACTTAATTTATTTACATTTAGGCTGATGATGTCACAGCTGAGGTGAAGTTGTCTTTGCTTGATAACATGGATGGTGCCCACCTCCTCCTTTTTTACCTGAACAGATAATATTGCATAAAAATTATTTTCTAGAAAAAAAACTGAAAGCAAAGAGACAACAAGAACATTTTTATTTATTTTTATTTTATTCAAAGCCTTACTTGTAAGCCTGCAAGTTCAGAGTGCATTGTCATGAATATAGATGACGCAGGTAGAAAAACAATATATAAAGGTAAAAACATTAGGTCTATCAATTTGCAGGTTAAGATGAGACTGAGCAGATACCAGCAGGAAGTGGACCGTGTCTCCTTTACAAAAGGCAAGAATCGGGTTGTAGGTCTTCTGAACAGGAACAAACTGCCAGGCCAGCTGAGGAACACTGGATGGATCAGACTTAACAAAGAGGGTTCATCAAAATATTAGACATTGAGTTAAAAAAATATTCTTGAAAACAAAACAGTTAATATAAAAAAGTCAATTTTATTTTGTCAAGAATCATTTGCTGACATTAAATGGACAGTTCTCATTCATAGCATTAGTTTTCATGTCTCATTATGTGATACAGCTGCTTAGTCTTAAATAAATGCTTCTGAGGAATGTGTGTGTGTGTGTGTGTGTGTGTGTGTGTGTGTGTGTGTGTGTGTGTGTGTGTGTGTGTGTGTGTGTGTGTGTGTGTGTGTGTGTGTGTGTGTGTGAGGGGGGTATCCCATGAGACATCAACAAGAATGCTATGAACGAGAACAGAGGTTACGCAAGTAACATAAAGTTCGGCCATTTTGAAGTTGTGTTCTGTGTACACGTAATAAATAACTACAGTAAGTCAACAAAGTCCATGCTCAATAATCCAGGTATACAATCCAACAATTTTCAGTCAGGTCATCTGGACAGTTTCTTTTTTTTTTTTTGTGCTGAAACGTTTCACCTTCCATCCAGAAGGCTTCATCAGTCAAGGAAACACACAACACAAAACTGATTCTTCCCCCAACAGTTTACTCCAAAGTGGAACAAACCAGTTATGTTGTGGCTAAGATGGTGTCTTTGGCACGCCCCCTCCTCCGGTGCCGGCCCTCTCTCTCATCAACAGTCAAAAACAAAAGAAAATGTCCAGATGACCTGACTGAAAATTGTTGGATTGTATACCTGGATTATTGAGCATGTACTTTGTTGGTTTTGAACCAGTTTGACATGACTGTCAACAAGGGAGAGAGCAGGCACTGGAGGAGGGGGCGTGACAAAGACACCATCTTAGCACCAACATAACTGGTTTGTTCCCCTTTGGAGTAAGCTGTTGGGGGAAGAATCAGTTTTGTGTTGTGTGTTTCCTTGACTGATGAAGCCTTCTGGATGGAAGGTGAAACATTTCAGTACAAAAAAAACAACAAAAAAAAGAAACTGTCCAGATGACCGGACTGAAAATTGTTGAACTACAGTAAGTGTACTGTCTACAAGCATACAGTGTGAAAGCTGAGTGCTAAGTGACTTTGCTGAAAGTTGTAGTTTATTCCAACAATTTTTTTTACCCATCAAAAAATAGCAAAAGGATAACTAAAACCAGCAGCAGCAGAACAAGAAAGAAAAGCTAAAAGTAGCAAATAGCTAGCAAAAGGCTAACTAAAAGTAAAAGTACCAAAAAGATAGTCTAGCTAAAAGTAACAAAAGGTTATCTGAAAGATAAAATTAGAAGAACAATAGCTAAACACTACAGTGCAATCAGCAGCAAATTGTATACAAAAAGTTTATAATACACTGAACGGCTCACATTCCTAAAAAGACATGACCTAAAAATCAAACAGAAAAGCAGTCTATCACTAATAGCATCAGACAAAAACATTATCAAATCTAAATAGTTGTTTTCACTGGACCACTAGAGTCAACTTCTATTTAATTAAAGTAATTATTGCTCACAAACATTATCAATATGAACAAAAAGAGAACAATCAGACCTTGGAGTAAGGAAAAGTCATCCAGACATTCAACGTGGGCTTGAGTCCAATGACCAAAATCTGGTGAATGGAAACCAAAAAGGAAAAACAATCAGAGTTAACGTTTAATTAAGCGGATAAACTAAGGTAAGAAGATCAACTAAAGCTAGAAAAATCCCACAGGAATACAATTATACAACTTAAAATTATTATTTTTTTCCAAAAAACACTGCTGTTACCAAAATAGACAATAGAGAAAATACCTAAAGCCAGTATACAAGCTTTACAAAGAGTGTTTAATCTTTTGTTCTACAACAATGGAAAGACAGCCTTTGGTTAGCATGTGGATTTCAAAAAGTCCCTAAAATAATACACCGTATTTTCCGGCCTACCCCTTCCTGGGCTGCCACCTTACCATGGTGGAGGGGTTTGAGTGTCCCAATGATCCTTGGAGCTATGCTGTCAGGGGCTTTATGCCCCTAGTAGGGTCACCCATGGCAGACAGGTCCTAGGTGAGGGACTAGACAAAGTGCAGCCCAAAGACCCCAATGATGAGAAACACAAATGGACCTAGTGTTCCCTTGCCCGGACGTGGGTCACCGGGGCCCCACTCTGGAGCCAGGCCTGGAGGTGGGGCACGTGGGCGAGCGCCTGGTGGCCGGGCTTTTACCCATGGAGCTCGGCCGGGCACAGCCCGAAGAGGAGACGTGGGTCCCCCTTCCCATGGGCTCACCACCTGTGGGAGGGGCCAAAGGGGTCGGGTGCAATGTGGGATGGGTGGTAGCCGAGGGCGGGGACCCTGGCGGTCTGATCCTCGGCTACAGAAGCTGGCTATTGGGATGTGGAATGTCACCTCACTGGTGGGGAAAGAGCCTGAGCTGGTGTGTGAGGCTGAGAGGTTCCGGCTAGAAATAGTCGGACTCACCTCTACGCATGGCTCGGGCTCTGGAACCAGTTTCCTTGAGAGGGGCTGGACACTCTTCCACTCTGGAGTTGCCCCTGGTGAGAGGCGCCGAGCAGGCGTGGGCGTACTTATTGCCCCCCAACTTGGTGCCTGTGTATTGGGGTTCACCCCGGTGAATGAGAGGGTGGCCTCCCTCCGCCTACGTGTGGGGGGACGGGTTCTGACTGTCGTTTGTGCTTATGCACCAAACGGCAGTTCAGATTATCCACCCTTTCTGGAGTCCTTGGAGGGGGTACTGGAAAGTGCACCTTCTGGGGACTCCCTTGTTCTGCTGAGGGACTTCAATGCTCATGTGGGCAATGACAGTGAGACCTGGAGGGATGTAGTTGGGAGGAACGGCCCCCCTGATCTGAACCAGAGTGGTGTTCTGTTGTTGGACTTCTGTGCTCGTCATGGATTGTCAATAACGAACACCTTGTTCAAGCATAAGGGTGTCCATATGTGCTCTTGGCACAAGGACACCCTAGGCCGCAGTTCGATGATCGACTTTGTCATTGTCTCATCTGATCTGCGGCCACATGTCTTGGACACTCGGGTGAAGAGAGGGGCGGAGCTGTCAACTGATCACTACCTGGTGGTGAGTTGGCTCCGATGGTGGGGGAGGATGCCGGTCAGACCTGGCAGACCCAAACGTATTGTGAGGGTTTGCTGGGAACGTCTGGCAGAGTCTCCTGTGAGACGGAGTTTCAACTCCCACCTCCGGGAGAACTTTGAACATGTTCCGAGGGAGGTGGGGGACATTGAGTCTGAGTGGACCATGTTTCGTGCCTCTATTGTCGAGGCGGCTTACCAGAGCTGCGGCCGCAAGGTTGTCGGTGCCTGTCGCGGCGGCAACCCTCGAACCCGATGGTGGACACCGTCGGTGAGGGATGCTGTCAGGCTGAAGAAGGAGTCCTATCGGGCCTTTTTGGCCTGTGGGACCCCGGAAGCAGCTGATTGGTACTGGCAGTCCAAGCGACATGCGGCTCGGGTGGTTGCTGAGGCAAAAACTCGGGCATGGGAGGAGTTCGGAGAGGCCATGGAGAACGACTTCTGCACGGCTTCGAGACGATTCTGGTCCACCATCCGGCGTCTCAGGGGGGGAAAGCAGTACGCCACCAACACTGTTTATAGTGGGAGTGGTGTGCTGCTGACCTCAACTCGGGATGTTGTGGGTCGGTGGGCGGAATACTTTGAAGACCTCCTCAATCCCACCGACACGTCTTCCACTGAGGAAGCGGAGCCTGGGGACTCTGGGTCGGGCCCTCCAATCTCTGGTGCTGAGGTCACCGAAATGGTTAAAAAGCTCCTCGGTGGCAGGGCCCCAGGGGTGGATGAGATCCGCCCAGAGTTCCTTAAGGCTCTGGATGTTGTAGGGTTGTGTTGGCTTACGCGACTCTGCAATATTGCGTGGACATCGGGGGAAGTTCCCCTGGATTGGCAGACCGGGGTGGTGGTCCCCCTATTCAAAAAGGGGGACCGTAGAGTGTGTTCCAACTACAGGGGAATCACGCTCTTAAGCCTCCCTGGTAAGGTCTATTTGAGGGTTCTGGAGAGGAGGGTCCGTCGGATAGTCGAACCTCGGATTCAGGAGGAACAGTGCGGTTTTCGTCCTGGCCGTGGAACACTGGACCAGCTCTACACTCTCAGCAGGTTCCTGGAGGGTGCGTGGGAGTTTGCCCAACCAGTCTACATGTGCTTTGTGGACTTGGAGAAGGCGTTCGACCGCGTCCCTCGGGGGGCCCTGTGGGGGGCCCTGTGGGGGGTACTCTGGGAGTATGGGGTACCGGGCCCTTTGATACGGGCTGTTAGGTCCCTGTATGACCGGTGTCAGAGCCTGGTCCGCATCGTCGGCAGTAAGTCGGGCTTGTTCCCGGTGAGAGTTGGACTCCGCCAAGGTTGCACTTTGTCACCGATTCTGTTCATAACTTTTATGGACAGAATTTCTAGGCGCAGCCAAGGTGTTGAGGGGATCCGTTTTGGATTGCGTCTCTGCTTTTTGCAGATGATGTGGTCTTATTGGCTTCATCAGATCGTGATCTACAGCTTTCGCTGGAGCGGTTCGCAGCCGAATGCGATGCGGCCGGGATGAAGATCAGTTCCTCCAAATCCGAGGCCATGGTCTTGAGCCGGAAAAGGGTAGATTGCCCTCTCCGGGTCAGGGAGGAGGTCCTACCCCAAGTGGAGGAGTTCAAGTATCTTGGGGTCTTGTTCACGAATGAGGGAAAAATGGAGCGTGAGATCGATAGGCGGATAGGTGCAGCGTCTGCAGTGAAGAGGGCGCTGTACAGGTCTGTCGTGGTGAAGAGAGAGCTGAGTCAAAAGGCGAAGCTCTCAATTTACCGATAGAGCTACGTTCCCACCTTCATCTACGGTCACGAGCTTTGGGTTATGACCGAAAGAATGAGATCTCGGATACAAGTGGCCGAAACGAGTTTTCTCCGCAGGGTGTCTGGGCTCTCCCTTAGAGACAGGGTGAGAAGCTCGATCATCCGGGAGGGACTCGGAGTAGAGCCGCTGCTTCTCCACGTCGAGAGGAGCCAGTTGAGGTGGCTTGGGCATCTGTTTAGGATGCCTTCTGGACGCCTCCCTGGTGAGGTGTTCCGGACACGTCCCACCGGAAGGAAGCCCAGAGGAAGACCCAGGACATGCTGGAGGGACTATGTTTCTCGGCTGGCCTGGGAACGCCTCGGGATTCCCCCGGAAGAGCTGGCCCAAGTGGCTGGGGAGAGGGAAGTCTGGGCCTCCCTACTTAGGCTGCTACCCCCGCGACCCGACCCTGGATAAGCGGAAGAAAATGGATGGATGGATGGATGGATTTTCCGGCCTATACGTTGCAGCCATAGCCTGCCACCTTCATCCAGCTCGCTTGGAGCAACCGTCAAATCAGCTTCATTTTGCTGCACCGCCCCAGAGAAATGCAGCTAATTTGACCATTGAAATACATTTATTAATAAAGGTTCAACTGAGACACACCTATACTATAATGTCGAGCAAACAAATAATTGTTTTTAGGTGCTTATCTTGTTAAATTTCAAAGAAATGCACAGCGTTCCTCCTTCCTGAATTCCTCCCTCTGCGTGCTCCCGGAGCACCGAGGGACCGAATACTTTTGAAATGTAGCTGATTTTACTATTACAGTGCATTTATTAAATAAAAGTTCAACTGAGACACACCTTTACCATAAAGTTGAATAAACAAATAATTGTTTTAAGGTGTTTATTTTGTTAATTTTGAAGAAATTCACAGCGAGTCGTCCATCTGCGCGTTCCTGCTTCCGCGTATCAACTTTTGAAATACAGCTCATTTGACCGTCAAAGTGCACTTATTAAGGAAAAGTTCAACTGAGACACACCTTTACTATAATTTCAAGCAAACAATTGTATTTAGGTGTTAATCTTGTTAAATTCTTGTTAAAATCCTCCCATGCACGCTCCCGCGACCGCCATTTGGCAGCCAATTTAGCACAACACCGGCCCACATTTCTGGGTTGTCAGCGGGGACGAGTAACAAACGCGACGCGTAACAAATGCGACGCGTAACAAAAATGCGACGCGTCAGCGGTGACGCATAACAGATGTGACGTATACGGAGAAGTGACAAATTTATGTTTTTTCCACTTTTTTAGACAAATTTGGACTGATGCAACTTATAGGGCGGTGCGACGTGTACGGGAGAAAATACGATAAATAAAAAGTTGCTTTTGAAAAAATAAATTCATAAATGCAAAATACTTCCAAAGTCAATGAGTAAGCATAAAAATAACTTGAGGCTGTAATGTTTGAGTTTTTCACTGGTATTTAATGTACGTCATGGCAGAAGAATGTCACTGATGAAAGACTTATTTAACCACCAACTTAAATGATGACTGATGATGTCTGACATGACTGAGCAGCCGTGTGACTGACGTGTGTGACGACATTATGTACCTTTGTGAGGGAGGCCATAGCCAGCAGAGAGTAGCATGTTATGGGATGATCTCTGAAATCTGGAGGAGCCCGTAAAGGTTCAACACAGCACACCTCTCCTTTAGAACCACTGAAGAGGCATCGAGAGTCACAAGAGCGCATCCCCATTACCCTCCTGGAAACAGAAAGACCACACAACTAAAATAAGAGCGTAATAAGATATTTCAATCACACAAATTCTTCAGCTCATCTTTCTCTGAGCGTTTTGTCATTATGAAGAACTGATTAGGTGTGTCTATGTTTAGTGTGTATTTTAGTTGAGAGCAAATGAATTTACCTGAAAGTCAGTTCAAACACAGATCCTCCACTGTCGTTGCACACTGCCAACGTTGGGTCATCTGTGAACTACAAACAAAAAAAAGGAAAGAACCAGGGTCAGAAACCAGATGAGGTAGGATGGGATGCCACCTACCTAACAACAAACCCTCTGGGACACAATCTAACTGTGGGTGGTTGACCAGAGCAGGATGTGACTGGGAAGAAAAGTGTCTCTGGAACAACAAAGTTCATGCTCAATCATCCAGGTACCAAATCCAATAATTCTCAGCCGGGTCATCTGTACAGTCTATGGAACAATTTACAGGTAGTTCAGGAGTGCAGAGTTTAGCTCAGTTCAATTAATTTCACTTCACTGCAACTCAGTTTAACTTAACAATTTAATTTAGCTCAATTCAGCTCAACTGAATTACACAAGTCAAGTTTATTTGATTCAACAAAACAATTATTCTCTGTGCAGTGTAACTCTCTTTAGTTCAAATTTCAAGGATTCAAGGTTCAATGATTCATGGTTCTTTATTTGTCGTACACACCGCATGTGGTACGTGTGGTGGAACAAAATTATGTGCAGGGTCCTAGTTACATCCAACAAAAGTATTAACATGTCAAAGAAAAACAGTAATAAGATCTAAGATATGAACTAAGAAAAACGTTAACTAAAAATACACTAGGCACTAGTAGTATAAAAACAATCAACATAATATGCCGAACAGCAGCATGAACATGAGTCTGTGTGAGCAGATGAGAACGCATGAAGACAGCAACATTGAAACAGATCAGCAGCAACATTGAAACAGATCAGCAGCAACATGATGTGATTTTTCACAATGATTATTCTGGTTAGAGATTCATGAGTCCAACAGCCTCAGGGTAGAAGCTGTTCCTCAGTCTAGTGGTTCTACACTTAATCCTCCTCAACCTCCTTCCTGAGGGGAGTGGGGCAAAAGTGTGTGTGCTGGATGAGTGGGGTCCTTCATGATGCAGATGGCTCTCTTCCTGCATCTGGAGGTGTAGATGTCTGCGATGGTGGGGAGACTGACTCCAACAAACTTCTGTGCAGCCTTCACCACTCTCTGCAAAGCTTTTCTTTGCTTTTCAGATTTGTTTATTTCAATCCAGACATAAATTGTTTGTCTACTGGTAGTTTGCAGTACAAAACCACAAAAATGTAAAAAGGTCAAATTTAAGTCTTATAAGTCTTTTAAGCTCAGATCATTGAATTTATAACTCTATTACATTTGGTGTAACTGGCTCAAAGCATAAATGCGCTAATTGTTGTATTGCAACGCCATCAACATTATATTTGGGTTCTGTGAGCTCTCTTTTCATTGCTTGGCTCACTTCTAAAGGTCTTGCCTTACATTTTTAGCTTGTTTGGTTGATTTTTATCTTATTTCATTACCTAACATTAATATTTACTTCTACACAACCCTGACAAATTTTAAAACCTCCTCTGGTATTATTTCAGTCCTTGCTTGGTGTGGCTCCTTTATTATTTATTTATTTTTCATTATTATTTATAAATTAAACTATTTAAAGGGGTGGCTGAGATTCACCTGGAGTTCCTTAAGGCTCTGAATGTTGTAGAGTTGAGCTGGCTTACACGACTCTGCAATATTGCATGGACATCGGGGGCAGTTCCCCTGGATTGGCAAAACGGGGTGCTGGTCCCCCTATTCAGAAAGGGGGACTGTAGAGTGTGTTCCAACTACAGGGGATCACTCTCTTAAGCCTCCCTGTTAAGGTCTATTCAGGAGTTCTGGAGAGGAGGGTCCATCGGATAGTCGAACCTCAGATTCAGGAGGAGCAGTGCGGTTTTCGTCCTGGTCATGGAACACTGGACCAGCTCTACACCCTCAAGGGTGCGTGGGAGTTTGCCCAACCGGTCTACGTGTGCTTTGTGGACTTGGAGAAGGCGTTCGACCACGTCCCTCAGGGAGCCCTGTGGGAGCCCTGTGGGAGGTACTCTGGGAGTATGGGGTACCAGGCCCTTTAATACGGGCTGTTAGGACCCTGTATGACCGGTGTCAGAGCCTGGTCCGCATTGCCAACAGTAAGTCGGGCTCGTTCCCAGTGAGAGTTGGACTTCGCCAAGGTTGCCCTTTGTCACGATTCTGTTCATAACTTTTATGGACAGAATTTCTAGGCGCAGCCAAGGTGTTGAGGGGGTCCGTTTTGGTGGCCTTAGGATCACTTCTCTGCTTTTTGCAGATGATGTGGTCCTATTGGCTTCATCAAGTCGGGATCTACAGCTTTTGCTGGAGCGGTTAGCAGCTGAGTGTGACGTGGCCGAGATGATGATCAGTTCCTCCAAATCCGAGGCCATGGTCTTGAGCCGGAAAAGGGTAGAGTGCCCTCTCCGGGTCGGGGAGGAGGTCCTTCCCCAAGTGGAGGGGTTCAAGTATCTCGGGGTCTTGTTCATGAATGAGGGAAAAATGGTATCTCGGGGTCTTGTTCATGAATGAGGGAAAAATGGAGCGTGAGATCGATAGGTGGATAGGTGCAGCGTCTGCAGTGAAGCGGGCGCTGTACAGGTCTGTTGTGGTGAAGAGAGAGCTGAGTCAAAAGGCGAAGCTCTCAATTTGCCGGTTGATCTACGTTCCTACCCTCATCTATGGTCATGAGCTTTGGATTGTGACCGAAAGAACAAGATCTTGGATACAGGCAGCCGAAATGAGTTTTCTCCGCAGGGTGTCTGGGCTCTCCCTTAGAGATAGGGTGAGAAGCTTGGTCATCTGGGAGGGACTCAGAGTACAGCCATTGCTTCTCTACATCGAGGGGAGCCAGTTAAGGTGGCTCGGGCATCTGGTTAGGATGCCCCCTGGAAGCCTCCCTGGTGAGGTGTTCCAGACAGTTCCCACCAGGAGGAGACCCAGAGGAAGACCCAGGACACACTGGAGAGACTATGTTTCTCGGCTGGCCTGGGAACGCCTCGGGATTCCCCCGGAGGAGCTGGCCCAAGTTGGGCCTCCCTACTTAGGCTGCTACCCCCGCGTCCCAACCCCGGATAAGCGGAAGAAAATGGATGGATTGATGGATGGATGGATGGATGGATGGATAGATAAACTATTTATTTTCATTATTATATTTTATTATTATTCATTCTCACATTCTCACATTTATAAAGCAGAAAATAAAATGTTCCCTTTCAAGAAAATATAAAATTGTCCTTAAGTTATTTTAAGATGTCTACAACAATAATTCACATAAGGACAAAACAATAATGTTAGAGGACTGAAAGGGGAAGGCAAACACAAAAGTAACAGAACAGGACTTGAACCTAGACCTGGACTCACCTTTACATGTAGTATAGCTGTTCCTGGAGGATGGGCATCAGTGATAGTCCTCAGAAGCTTTCCATTAGCAAGATCCCACATTGTAATCTAATTGGGAAAACAAACAAATACATGAAGCTAAAGAGACCGTTCAGTCTGTATGAATATAATACTGTAGAGTTATAAAGTGGTAATAGATGTTACCAATATGTTTCAAAATTAATTCCCAAGTTAAAAATGTCAGTAATACTACAGTATAATTACAGTATGGTAATGTCTTGATGTTGGTTGAATGTATCAGATTTACATTCAAACAAACACATTTGTAGAGTTTAAAAGAGTAAAAAAAAAAAAACAATGGACCATCACTAGGCCTAACAATGTCTTTTTTTAATGAATTCCTTATCCAGTCAACAAGACAGTAATTTCCTAAAAGTATTATTTACCTGTCCTTTAGCAAAACCACAGAGAAGACGTGAGCAGTCGTGGTTGATGCTAAGAGCAGAGATAGCACCGAACTCTGCACCCGTTGATTTATTGCCCAGACAAAGTCGCAGAGCCTGGTTTGTATCTGAAAAAAGTGGAAAAATATGTTTACCTGTCTGGACAAAGATATTAGAGGACATTTGTTTAAAAATGTGAATAGTTGGAAAAAAGAATACAAGTCGTAAATTCATTAGTACCAAACAGCCCAAACATATAGGCACCAAAATAAATGAATAAAAAATAAGAGTTGGATAACAAAATGAAACCGCTGCTCATGCATCAAAGTGGCAAAAACAAACCAAAGTTCATATAAGCTATGAGGCCCCCCAGCAGATGAAAAATAAAATGAAGAAAATGAGCAAATTCAACAGGAATGGTCATACCTTTTCCTGCTTGGCCCAGCATTTTGTCAGCGGTATAAAGAAACAAAAAGTCAAGGAAATCTAAGTCTTGAGCAAATTAAAGTCAAAACCAAGCATTGAGCATCACTCACTCTGATGTTATTTTATATTTGAGAAAAGAAGCAACATTTTTCTTTTCCAAAAACGTAAAACCTAAGTTATATTTTGTGGAGAATAAGATTAATGTAACTCAAAATAAGCCCACACTTGTGGCCCCGAGCACAGCAACACTAATGAATGCTATCGTGTTTACATCCCAGCGTGTTGGAGTGGAGTACTCCCACTAATGTCGACTATAACCAGAACCAAAAATATCCCAAATTTATCATGAACATAGAGATAATACAGTGAATGTACTCCATTCAATCCCAGGCACCAAAAGCTGTATCAGCTACTGAGGGAGTAAATGTGACTATTTGACACAGGTGCCACAAACTGTAACTCTGTAGAGTTAAACACCCTCCTGAACTGATTCCAGATCTTGAATGTCCAGACCACACTTGGGTTAGAAGTATAAGTTGATATTTGCTGTTTAAAAGGAAAATGAGAGTAAAGTAACGCAGAGGGGGAACAGATCTAATTGAGGTCCTCTCCAAAGCCACCCAGTTGGGAGCAGGAGTATCATTTCTTAACCAAAATAATAGAGCTATGATATTAGCTGCCCAGTAAGAGTGCATGAAATTAGGAAGTGACATGCCTACAAGACTACGGGGCAGATGTAAGATCTTTCTGGCAATCCATGGATGATTTTTATTCCAAAAAACATAGATTGCTGGCTGTTCAGGTTGGAAAAGAATGATTTACTAAGAAAAATTGGCAGGCTCTGAAACAAATACAGAAATTTAGGTAGAATATTCAATTTGTCAGAGTTTATTCAACCCCCCAGGATGTGAGGTAGGGTTTGCCATCTAGCAATGTCTTGCTTAAGGTTCGCCATGAGAGGTAGATAATTAGCCTTATAGAGGTTCTTATAGTCTCGTGTTATCCAAATGCAAAGGTATTAACATTTTTCAAACTAATTTTTTATGGAACAGTACCCAAAATTTTATTTTCTAGAGGTCACAGGCATCAGCTTGCTTTTCTCAAGATTAAACTTTGAGTCAGATATTCTCCCAAACTTTTGAAACAAAGTAAGTAAATCAGGAATGTTTGTGAGAAGATCTGATATATACAAAAGCATGTCATCGGCATATAAAGAAACATTATGCTCTGTGCCTAGGTGAAGGAAATCTAAATCTTGAGCAAATTAAAGTCAAAACCAAGCATTGAGCATCACTCACTCTGATGTTATTTTATATTTGAGAAAAGAAGCAACATTTTTCTTTTCCAAAAATGTAAAACCTAAGTCATATTTTGTGGAGAATAAGATTAATGTAACTCAAAATAAGCCCACCCTTGTGGCCCCGAGCACAGCAACACTAATGAATGCTATCGTGTTTACATCCCAGCGTGTTGGAGTGGAGTACTCCCACTAATGCTGACTAAAACCAGAACCAAAAAATACCCCTAACTACTGCAGGGTCACTTAAAATGACACTGAATGCTGATCCAACACATTTCTGTTCCTCTGCACAACAAGATGTTAGCAAATATCAACTGTAATAAGTGTGAAAAGTACAAACGTATATGAAAACTACTGTGCCACAACAGCTATAGGTTTAAATAAAGGGACATTGGTAAAAACTTTGTCTAAAGCTTCTACAAAGTTGTAGCAAAAGGGAACAAGTTTAAACTCACCAAAAATCAGGGCAAGACCGTGAGAAGTTCCCACAGCAATCACACCAGACATGGTCTGCACACAAAATATATACTTTACATTAGAAGCAGTTAGAAGGCACAACAGAAAACATTAAAACAAAAAGCTACAAATGACATATGTCTCCACTAGGTAAATGATGTGACTGCAAAATTATGGAATGCACTTGGAATATTATAGCCTATGAGGTCTTGCAGTCCAAGCAGTTCTTTGAGATAATGATATTCATCACACTGATAATGAAATGGTAATAACATTTTTATGCATTGTAAAGTCCTGAGGGTTTTTACTATGATGTGAGAGCTATGTTGAGCAGCAAAACAGAATCTTCATCGTTACAAAGGATGACATTTCAATTATCTAATTTACCCATAAAATATTGTTTATTCAGGAATATATTTACATTGAGCTTTTAAATTTATTAATTTGTTTTTTTATTTCTAAATAACAAAATGTTTATTTGACCAGAGATCTTTGTTTAACTTGTAAAATTCTAAACAAAATTTATGTGAGAAATACGCTCAGAAACTTCAATAAACTCACAAACCTATAATTCTTTACACCACTAAGAAGCAAACAAGACGTGGCTAAAGCAGAAAAATACTGTGAATTGTACAAAATGATACCATCAACGATGCCGTTTCCATTTTAGTATTTTGTGCAGATTTCCTGAAATGTCGTCTAGTCAAAATTTTATAAAGCACATTTAAAACAACAACTGTTACCAAAGAGATTTTTACCTTTGTACTTTTGTGCAAATACACAAAGGCAATTATTTAATTTGGTCACAGAGATGATTTGCACATAAAGGGAAAATATCAGTCTTAAATAAACTGTTTCTTTCTGTCCAGATTTAAACAATATGATATTGGACAAAAATATAAACACAACACTTTTGTTTTTGCTCCCATTTTTCATGAGCTAAACTCAAAGATCTAAGACTTACTATGTGCACAATAGGCCTTTTCTCTCAAATATTGTTCACAAATTTGTATAAATCTGTGTTAGTGAGCACTTCTGCTTTGCCGAGATATTTCATCCACCTCACAGGTGTGCCTTAGGCTGGCTACAGTAAAAGGCCACTCTAAAATGTGCAGTTTTACTGTCTTGGGGGGTCCAAGGGGTCAGAAAACCAGTCTGTTTCTGGTGTGACCACCATTTGCCTCACTCAGTGCAACACATAGAGTTGATCAGGTTGTTGATTGTGGCCTGTGGAATGTTGGTCCACTCCTCTTGTAAAATTGCTGGATATTGGCAGGAACTGGAACACACTGTCGTATCCGCCGATCCAGAGCATCCCAGAGCAAGGAATTGTGTACAGATCCTTATAGGGCCACGCATTTTCATGTTGCAACGTGGGGTGATTGTCATGGATGAAAAAAAAACAATGGGCCTCAGGATCTTCTGTATATTCAAAATGCCATCAATAAAATGCACCTGTGTTTGTTGTCCATAACATACATGTAGTGAACCTGATCTGACCTCAAATCTGATCAGATGAACAGAGACTGTTATTTCATTGATCTGCATCCAGAAATACAGTCTGAGCCATCTGGTGACTTTCTTTCTTGAATCAATCAAGTAGAAAAGACAATTCTCTATGATCATTACTATTTTACAAATGTTTGATAATCAAATTGTGTTAGTTTACTCAATGTTTACAGGTTGAAGAAAACTACTCATTTTTATTTTACATAAACAGTAAGTAATGATTTTTATTCCTCATTCAAAGAAGAAATCAGGTTAATATGCATTTCTTGATTTTCTGTCTTCAATGAGCCAAGTTTGTAAGTATGTTAAAGGTCGGTTCTCGGTCAACTAAAATGTTTACTGAGAAGAAATGTCATGTTTAAACTTTTTCAGAAGATAATAAGAGGGAGACTCCACGAAGTCTGGTTTTCTGCAATAATCTTTCTGTCTGTTGTTGAACAATCTCATTCTCTGATCAAAGCTTTGATAACATCTTACATCACAAACCACACCTCTATTCTGGTCAATCCACGAATCAGAAAGCTCTAAATTGACCCGGAAGTCAACTCATTTAAAATGTGGCAACTTCCCGGTTCTTGTTAGAGAGTGCAAAGTCTGAAGTCTGAAGCCAGACGCTGAAGATTAATGGAGCTAAAAAGAGTCTGATGCTGCAGAGCTCTGAGAGTTCCACACAGAGTGCTGAAGAGTGATGGGAGTTCAGAGTTCTTGGATGCAAACGCATTCAGGATGATCCAGAGACGTTTTGGCATTATAACTTCTGTTTGAACAACCTCGTACGACTCTCTAAGGGTTTGGCAGTTCTCACGGAGACGCTGAAAGAGTCAGAAAGGAACCCTACGCCGACGCTGATTTTATCGTCAACCAGGTAGAAGGTTCTATTTTCGACCAAGTGTACCGTGGGCAAGCTGAGATCTGATGGAGCGTGCACGTTTCTGGTCAGACAGATTAATTCCCTCACAAATCTCTCTGTAAGATAAATCTCCATCTCTTAAAATCAGTACAGATATTTTAGAAATATCTGAGGCAAAGTCCTCAATCACCGCCGTGTGATTGAAGTCCATTATCTGTGAAACTTGTCTGTTATTATTTTCATATTTTGCCAAATTAATGTAAATGTTTGATGTTAAACTTTGATTCTGAAAATAAATGACCGCATTCATTTTGATGGGTCAAAGATAAATAACGTCTCTCGTTACATTTCTGTTAAAATTCAATGCACGACATTTACACAGTCAGAAAGATGAGGAACTCGTGAAAAAGTATGAATATATATCCTATATGTCATACTACATACACGTGCCTCACAATATCCCGTATCCTCATATCCCCATATCCCCACTGCCATCATGGGCCACTCGATTCACGTTGACATCAGCAAACTGCTCACCCACACGACCTCGTCTACACAGTCTGCCCTCTGTCCTGTACAGTGAAAACTGGGATTCATCTGTGAAGAGAACACCTCTCCAACGTGACATACACCATCGAATGTGACCATTTGTCTACTCAAGTAGGTTATAACAATTTCAATTCAATTCAGTTCATTTATATAGTGCCAAGTCACAACAGAAGTCATCTCAGGGCACTGAACAGAAACATTCATTTATATAAAAACAAGTTAACATTAAAACTGCAGTTAAGTGGAGACCCCAATGAGGATGACAACCATGCAGTTGAGCTTCCCTGAATCCGTCCAGATGACCTGACTTAACTTTTTTGGACTTCCCTGAGACAGTTTCTGAAGAAATTCTTTGGTTAAGTAAACTGATTGTCGCAGCAGCTGTCTGGGTGGTTGGTCTCAGATGATCCTGGAGGTGAAGATGCTGGATGTGGAGGCCCTGGACTGATGTGGTTACACCTGGTCTGTGGTTGTGAGGTTGGTTGGATGTACTGCCAAATTATCATCTTTGGAGGTGGCTTCTGGTGGACATTCCTGCAGTCAGCATGCCATTTACACACACTCTCAAAACTTGCAACATTTGTAGCATTGTGCTGTGTAATCAAACTGCACATTTTAGAGTGGCCTTTTATTGTGGTCAGCCTAAGACACACCTGTGCAATAATCACATTGTCTTATCAGCATTTTGATCTGCCACATCTGTGAGGTGGATAGATTATCTCCGTAATGAAGAAGTGCTCACTGACACAGATTTACACAAATTTGTGAACAATGTTTGAAAGAAAAGGCCTGTGTGTACTAGTACATAGAAAAAGTCTTAGATCTTTGAGTTGAGCTCATGAAAATGGGAACAAAAACAAGTGTTTGTTTATATTTTTGTTCAGTGTAACTTAATGATTTATACAACTCTGCTACATTCTTCTCTAACTCTCATAATTGTAGCAACTACGTGTCACCTTTTTAAAGCTATTAACAAATGAAGACTAAAAAATACTAAATTGATTGTACTATTTGCCATAGTCCATAAAAGTAGATTTTGCTTGTAATTATTTTAAAAACTGTGCTATAAATTTTCACGTAGCTCATATAGCACATACTGTAGCTGGGCCCACCCTTACCAAGAATGTACTGTACTAGTTTCATTACATTTACAGGAGATAATTAATATCTGTCTCATAATGACAGTTAAGAAGATTGTGTTTGTAATTTGATCCAAAACTTAATATTAGAACAAGTAATGAGGTTTATTGTCAGCAAAGTTGGAAAAACTTCAAAAAAAGGTTAAAGACAAAAACAACTGGACTTCTATTCTGTAGCTGAATACATTTCGCTTCTCATCCGAGGAGCTTTCTCAATTCAAAGAGCAGGGAGTGTATGCGTGTGTGTGTGTGTGGGGGGGGGGGGGCGCAAGAATCTTTACCAGCATAGTTGGAGACACTCTAAACAAGTTCAAAAATATGTATGACTTAAAAAAAGTAAAGCTGTTCACTATAATTGCAAAGTGGAAATATGTATGTATGCATTTCATCACATTCTTTTTGTCCCTTTGTGGCACCCATAGTGCCTGCATAGTGTCTGTGTGCAGCTAAGCTCTGTCTAAAAGTGAGTGTTGGCTCATTTGATTGCAGCGAGCATGTGTCAGTGCAACAGATACTCCAGAAGATGGTGGCTGAGGTTATGGCCAGATACTGAAAGAAGACTAAGGTTCAGACATTACCACAAGGTCATGGAAAAACTGTGACAAGATACACTGCACCAATAATACAGTACATGTAAGAGGAAAAAAATGCCACACTATCAAAAAAAATAAGACATTCAACATTTGGTATTGTAGCTTACACCACGCTTAACCTGTGAATGCTACATACATCACAAGACATGACATTTCACAAAATGCGTCTAATTTCTTCATGTATGTGTTCCTGTAAAGTGCCCTGACACAACATTGTTGTGATTTGGCGCTATATAAATAAACTGAATTGAAATTAATTGAATGTATGGACTCGTGTAAAAGGCATTTCAACTCAATATTATAAAATTTAAATAAATAAACAAACAAATAAAAATATCACAAAAATCTGTTAGAAAGACTGAAATGGCCAACCACTTGAAACAGTCATTACATTTTTTAATGAAAGTTTAACTGTTAGTGAAATAAACATTTACTTACTATTGCTGTTGGTAGCCCAGCATCCACTTTGTCCTGAGTAAAGACAGAAATATGTCACAACTAAATATAACCTCAAATATAAATTATTTTTATGTTTCTACATTTAGCTTTACAGTATTGTGCAGACTGTGTACATGGATGTCTTTAAGTTTTAAGGAGTGACTTTCCTGTCAATAATCCGTCTTAAAGTAGGTTTAATGAAAGAAAATGATAGGATTAAGGTTACCATTAAATGTTTATATGAACTTTAAGATTATGGCAAAAGGCTAGTGTAAAGTATAAGCTCAATTAAAATATTCATGAATGGCAATGTGTGTGTGTGTGTGTGTGTGTGTGCGTGTGCGTGTGTGCGTGCATGTGCGTGTGTGCGCGCGCGCGCGCGTGTGTGTGTAAAACAGCCTTACAGCAGCAGCAACAATCTGTGCAGAGATGCCCTTCAGTAAGCTGAGTCGAAGTACCGACCCATGAACTGTGGTATTCGGATCGATTGGCTTCCTCTTTCTTCATGTTGCCACACAGACACAGAACAGCACATTGATAAAACAGACACACACACAGAAAAAAGATTTCTATTAACTTTTACAAGTACGGTAAAATACAAGGAGTGGGTACATAAACCAAATGTTTGTTTTGCTGTGTGTGAAAGTTGTCTTTCCATGGTACAGTTACAGCTGAGCTGTTGGATTATGTTTTATAGTGTTCGTCATTCAAGACAACACGAGAAAAAGCCAGCGTAGTGTGCCTAGTGTGAATGTCTTTACTTTGTGTTGATTGTGAGAGAATTTCAGAATGAAGAAACTTTGTCGTAGTTCTTACTAGAAGAAGCTTCACTTCTTTGTCATGTTGACTGTGGCATTTAAAAAACATTAAGCATTCAGTTCTCTATCATTAAAACAAATCATTAATAAACAATCATTAAAAACGACCATTTCCCTGCACTTTTTTTTTTACTTTGTCTAAATATGCAGAAAGAATACAGTCCTGTTGAATGCTGCCTTGAGATTTACTAAATAGATATAATGTTTACCATGAGGAAAGGAACCCTACTGGTAAAATAAATAATTATTCTTTTAAATAGTTTATAGTAGGCCTTTCCACAGTGTTGCTCATCAGAAGAGTTGCCAGGTTTCTCTCCTTTTTGCCATTGTATATACCATACCAATTTATTTCTAAAGCACTTAAAATACAACATAGTGGCCAACCGAAGTACTGTACAAAAATAAAAACAAACAAAAAAACAACAACAGTAAAACAATAAGACAATTAAATAAAAGTGTTTTTAAATTAGTTTTACAAACAGAAGGTGACAGGGCCTGCCTGACCTCCAGCGACAGCTCATTCCACAATTTAGGAGCCAGAGCTGAAAAGGCTCTGTCTCCTCTGGATTGATAAAAGGTTTTCGGGACTGCTAAAAGTATCTGGTCAGAGGATCTAAGAGCACGTGATGGTATGTAAAAGTGAAGCAGTTCAGACAAATAAGAAGGACTAAGACCGTTCAAAGATTTAAAAACAAACAATAGAACTTTAAAATGGATTTGAAACTGGACAGGAAGCCAATGAAGGAACAACTGGAGTGATGTGCTCACGCCTACCTGCACCAGTCAAAAATTATGCAACAGCATTTTGTACCAGCTGTAACCGTGAGAGCGAGGCCTGGCTAACTCTGATCAAAAGAGAGTTACAATAATCCAGGCGTGAAGTGATAAAAGCGTGGATTACTGTCTCTAAGTGGTTCCTAGAACTTGCTTGATTTTTTTATTTAGTTGTTGTTCAGCCAAATACAGATCACACTGTAACACACTTTGGGCAGACTCCTTCTTAAATGACACTTCCATCAAGTTGTATTTTCACAGCTTTGATCGACCCTGTGACGGACTTGCAACCTGACAAGGATGGATGGATGGATGGATGGACGGACGGACGGACGGACGGACGGACGGACGGACGGACGGACGGACGGACGGACGGACGGACGGACGGACGGATGGATGGATGGATGGATGGATGGATGGATGGATGGGATGATCCACATACCCATACTTTTTATGGTAACCAAAATGGCCTATCTGCTACTGATGACTTTGTACTCCCCACCTTCAACTTTCTACTTGTCTTGATCCACTTCAGCAGTCGCCTCAATGTGTATAATTTAATCTACTGGAGTACCATGTAAAATAAACAGATTTTAATTAATTTTAATTGTATACTTTATAGAGGCAGCACGGTGGCGTAACTGGTAGAGCTGCTGCCTCTCAGCGAGCAGGTCCTTGGTTCAAACCCTGGTCCAGGGGCCTTTCTGGGTGGAGTTTGCATGTTCTCTCCATGCATGAGTGGGCTTTCTCCGGGTACTCCGGTTTCCTCCCACAGTCCAAAAGCATGCATGTTAGGCTGATTGGTAACTCTAAATTGTCCCTAGGTGTGAGTGAGAGAGTGAATATTTGTTTGTCTCGTTTGGCTCTATGTGGCCCTGTGATGGACTTGCGACCCGTCCAGGGTGTACCCCGCCCCTCGCACAGTGATTGCTGGACATGGGCACCAGCGACCCCCGTGACCCAAAAATGGAATAAGCGGGTAAAGAAAATGGATGGATGGATGGATGGATGGATGGATGTATATTTTATATTCAATTCAATTCAAAAATACTTTAATAATCCCAGAGGAAAATTAAATGTAGTTGCAACTCATCTTACTGGTTTCATTAAAGAGTTGTTCTAGATGCTGATGCTGTGGGCAGGAAGGATCTCTTGTAGCCATCTGTCCTACAACAGATCTGAAGAAGCCTCTGACTGAAGACACTTTGTTGTATGACAGTCTGATGAAGAGGATGCTGAGGGTTGTCTATAATGTTCTTCATTTTATGAAGAATCCTTCTTTGTACAATCATCTCCAAAGGTTCTACAGGAGTCCCCAGAACTGAGCCAGCCTTCTTTATGAGCTTGTTGATCTTTTTTAAGTCACTTGCTCTGGTGCTGCTCCCCCAGCAGATGATGGCAGAAGAGACAGCGCTCTCTACAACAGACTTATAGAAGATATGCAGCATCTTGCTGCAAACACTGAAGGACTTCAGCTTCCTCAAGAAGTACAGTCTGCTCTGTCCCTTCTTGTAGACGCTTCACTGTTGCATTTCCAGTCCAGTCTATTGTCCAGGTGAACCCCAAGGTATTTATACTTCTCCACCACCTCCACTTCTTCTCCCATGATGGAAATAGGGTTGGACCTGTTCCTGTTTCTCCTGAAATCTACAATCATCTCCTTTGTTTTATTCACATTCAAGATGAGATGATTGTTTCCACACCATGCCACAAAGTGGTCCACCAGTTCCCTGTACTCAGCTTCTTGTCCATCTCTGATACACCCGACCACTGCAGAGTCATCAGAATATTTCTGCAGATGACAGGAGTCTGTTTTGTACTGGAAATCTGAGGTGTACAGAGTGAAAAGGAATGGTGAGAGTACAGTCCCCTGTGGTGCTCCTGAGCTACTGACCACCTGGTTAGACACACAACCCTTCAGTCTCACAAACTGTGGTCTGTTTGTCAGGTAGTCTTTGATCCAGGCGATTGTTGAGGCCTCCACCTGAGTCTTCTGGAATTTCTGACAAAGCAGTTCAGGCTGGATTGTGTTAAATGCACTGGAGAAATCAAAGAACATGACTCTCACAGTGCTGTCTGCCTTTTCTAGATGACAGTGAGTTTGCTGAAGCAGGTGTATGATGGCATCTTCAACTCCAAGTCCACGCTGATAAGCAAACTGCAGTGGGTCCTGATATGTGCTAGTTTGTCTAGTCAGGTAGGTCAGCAGAAGTCTCTCTAGGACCTTCATGATGTGGGATGTCAGGGCAACAGGTCTATAATCACTGAGGACTGATGGATGAGTTTTATTTGGCACTGGAACAAGACAGGATGCTTTCCACAACCCTGGAACCTTCTCCTGGGTCAGGCTAAGGTTGAAGAGGTGCTGCAGAACCCCACAGAGCTGCTCTGCACAGACCTTCAGGACTCTGGGACTGATGCCATCTGGACCTGCAGCCTTATTTTGGTTCAGTCTCTCGAGCTGCTTCCTCACCTGACTTCTAGAGACACAGAGGGGGGAGGCAAAGGAGGTATCAGCATCTTCTGATTTGGTTGAAGACCAACATGTAGAAGAAGGGTCCATGACTGAGGTGGTAGATACAGTATTTGAGGTGTGACAGGACAGCCTTGGGTCAAAGGAGGGTGGTATGTCTGTTTGGCTGTGGGCAAGAGAGGAGGATCCTGAGCTTGTTCCTGAACTGAACCTATTGAAGAACGTGTTCAGTTCATTGGCTCTGTCCAGGCTTCCATCCTTGTGATACTCCTTCTGCTTGAAGCCTGTGATCTTTTTCATCCCTGACCACACCTCTCTGATACTACTCTGTTGGAGTTTGCTTTCCAGCTTTTTCTTCTACACCTCCTTTCTGTTTCTTTTCTTATCTTGACTTTTAATTGCTTCTGTGTACTCGTGAATAATTCCCTGTCTCCCTCCCTGAAGGCTCTTTTTGCTGGTTTAGCAGTTCCTTCAGGTCAGTGGTGATCCAGGGTTTGTTACTGGGGAAGCATCTCACTGTTCTGCTGGGGATGGTGTTGTTTACACAGAAGTTTATATAGTCGGTCACTCACTCAGTCATGGCATTGATGTCCTTTCCATGTGGATCCCAGTCTGTAGTCTGAAAACAACCCCACAGGGCTTCTTCAGCTTCCATTGACCATTTTCTCACTGTTTTCTTTATTACAGGTTGCCTCTGAACAAGGGGTTTATATTTTGAGTAGAGAAACACAAGATTGTGATCTGATTTGCCAAGAGGGGGTCTTGCTTTAGCGATGTATGAATCCTTGACATTTGCATAAAACAAGTCCAGCGTTTTGTTTTCTCTGGTAGAGCAGCTGACAAACTGTTCGAATGTCAGAAGTGTAGCAGAGAGAGAGACATGATTAAAATCACCAGATATTGCAAGAAACACACTAGGGTGTTGTGTCTGTAGCTTAGCAACCTCGGAGCTGATGACATCACACACAGTCTCGGCAACAGCATTGGGTTGAATGTAAACAGTTGCCAAAATAACACTGGTGAACTCTCTTGGCAAATAATATGGACGACAACTTAGTGCTAACAGTTCAATATCTGGACTGCAGAGACGACACTTCACAGTAACATGTCCAGGATTACACCATCTTGTTCACAAGCACTGCCAACCCACCTTTTTTTTTTTGCCACTCTTGAAATCTCTATCTGCTCGTATGGTCAAGAGAAATGCTGGAGTCGGGGATATGATCCTGAAGCCATGTCTCAGTGAAACACATAACACTGCATTCCCGATACTCTGGATGGGTCCTTGTTAGGGCCTGAAGTTCATCCAACTTGTTTCCCAGCGATCTCACATTGCCCATCATGATCGATGGAAGAGATGGTTTGAACTTCATTCTTCTCCCTTTCTCTCTCTCTTCTTTGCTCCTGCTCTGCATCCACGATGCCTCCTTTTCAACTCATTTGAGATATGGGGCTGTAGTTGAGATATTATTTGAGATTTGGAGATGCTAATCAGCTGCTCCCAGTTGTAAAAAACAACCTTGTTATGGTTACGCATCATAACAAATGTCCAAAAGCAAAGATATTTCTGTAAAAATCCTTCCAGCTGCACAGCATCCGACACCAGAGAAACAATCATCCAAAAAAAAGTGATTTATATCCAGAAAAATAGAGGAATTAAAGTTTTCAAAAGTAATATCTCAGAATGAAAATAACCAGAGCTACTCCAACATGCAGCCACCTTAAGCGGTGCAATTCTAGAACATCATGATCATAATCATCATCATCATCATTATCATCATCATGGTGAGACCTGGACTGTATCGCTGTTTGTTTCTCTAAATAACCCCAGATCTCAAGACTGGACAAACATGTAAAAATGCAATTCTGTAAAAATTGTGAATTTCGCTCAACCCCTACCTCCCTCCCTCCATCCATCATCTGTTTGTTCTGGAATCGGGTCGCAAGGGCAGCAGCTAGACAGGGAGGCCCGGTCATCTCTTCCCACAGCCACCTCTTCCAGTTCTTCTGGACGGATTAAGTCAGTCCCAGGCCAGTCAAGAGATACAGTTTCTCCAGCGTGTCCTGGATCTTCCCCATGTTCTCCTCTCAGCTGAATCACCTCAACTGGCTCCTATCTATGTGGAGGAGCATCAGCTCTACTCCGAGTCTCTCCCAGGTAACTGAACTTCTGACTCTATCTATAAGGGAAAGTCCAGCTCCCCTGTGGAGAAAACTCATTTTGACTGTCTGTATCCAGAAACACAATCTCATTCTTTTGGTCACTACTCAGAGTTTGTGACCATAAATGAGGGAAGGAACAAATTAAGCTTCTAAAAGAACATCACAATTTAACTTTTTCAAACAATATTTGAAAGCACAAGCAGGCTAGCTTGTGCTTCCTCTGTATTTAATGCAAGCAGCATCCACTTCAGTACACCTGTGTTGCCAGGAGTTGGTGCCTGGTACATTTATTTGTCTCACACCGTGACTGAGCCATCATGTGCACACATGGGGCAGGTAATTGTTGACACAGCATGTAAGTGGCTGTTTATCTGAAATACTTGTTAAAATATAACCCCATTATGATACATAATAATTTTAAAGTAAAACCACTGCAAATGAAATGGTAACCACTTTGAACAAAATGACAACATCTGGATACAATATGTACAGATTGCCTAGCACCCAATTTTGCTGAGGCCCCCTTTTAGCAGCACAAACAATACTGATCATTTCAAGCTTAAATGGAGAACATTTATGGAGGTTCTGGGGTATTAGCATTAAATATGTTGGGTCATTTTAGGCTGATGGGATAGGTCTCTGTACTGGGCCTAATTCCCACAGGTGTCCATAGATTCCATTTGATTTGTGTTTGGAAGCTGGGTGAGCACCTCTGCACTATTCTCTGACTTCTTTCTAAGGGTTTTAACATGACCCACTGCTGCCCTGCCGAGTGGTAAGAGGTTTTACTGTAGAGCTGGTGTCCGTGTGTGTGTGCGTGTGTGTGTTCATGCCGTTTCAGGTGCGCAGGATCTCCACTGTCAGAGCTGGCTAGAGAAGACGTGTCACAGGACTGAGCATCCATGTTGTCTGTGTTTAGTATGCATGTGTCCTCCAGAACAAATGGATCTTCCTCCTCCTCCACCTGTAGCACACGGAGCAACAGCACAACACCCTGTCAGTCGAGATCAAATGCTCAAAAAAGATTTAACTCCAGGATTATCTCATACCCATTTGTAAACTTGGCAGCCCCACAAGTTTTACCTCAGATTAAAAATGTACATTAAGCTTTATAATTCCTTATTTGAACATTTTGCTGAAGCCAGAAACTGTAGACCAAACTCAACCCTCAGTTTAGCACTTCATTATCATTAAGCAGTCTTGTTGCTGGGTCATGACCCTGTCATCACAGATTAGGATATTTAAGGTCACTTGAGGCTCATTTCTAGGAATAGGAGCCCTTGATTTTTCGACGCAGTTGTGGATTCAATACATTTTCACATTAAAAGTCAACTTTATCTCATAAAACATAAAAGCTTCCTGTGCAGAGTTCTACCAGGAGAACCAGAAAGTATTTTATAATTTATTTTATTTAACCTTTATTTAACCAAGAGAATCCCACTGAAATTAAAAATCTCCTTTGCAAGAGAATCCTGGCCAAGACAGGCATCAGCACACAGAGGTTACAGAACATCCACAGCAAAACCAGACAAAGTTAACTCTGTCAGAAATAAATACATTAAAAGACACCTCAGTTAAAACATTTACAGATGATTCCTTCTCCAGATCAGTAAGAACAGCCTTAAAAACATTTAGTGGCAACAGCTCCTTTAGGTTCATGTATTTCTGCAGCTGGTTCCAAGAAGACGAAGCAGAAAACTGAACAGATTTCTTTACAAGTTCAGTTCAGACTTTAGGCACTGAAAGTAAAAATCAGTTCTCACAACGAAGAGAGTATCCTCCGGTGGACTTTCCCTTTATAAAGGCCAACAAATACGAGGGAAGAAGTCTTGTAAATAAAAATGTGTATTGTGAATGTGAGAACTTAACATCAGGTGTGTGCTTCAAAACAAGCTGCGCTTTCGTGTTTAGAAAAGGTTTGTCCAATGTTCGATTTATAACCTATAAAGGTTTACAGCAAGTCAGCTGCTCCTTCGACTTTTAATCAGCTGGAAAATCACCAGAAATTTAGGTAGAATTGAAACATTTATTTTTAAAGAAATCAGAGGCAGATTTGTTTATTTGTAAATGTTATGTCATGGATCGATGACTCTGCCTCTTTTTACAAAGAATTAAATTTCACCCAGTGTGTGTAAGTTTAAAGCATGGTAAGGATAGTTTAATGAAAGAAAGAAAGTTAAAAAAAAGACAGAAAATGTATTTAGGAAGCTTTTCAGCTTTAAATGAAAGAACTTAAAATAAAATAAAACTGTACTTGACCTGACTAAGGATGCTCTCCAGTGTGGGAGGTGTATCCACTTGGGGAATGTCAAACTCCTTATCATCAATCTAAGAACAAAGGTTGAACAAAGATACAGCAGATTAGAATGCATTTGTTGTTGCTGTTGTTTCAGTTCTTGGTCTGTGATTCATAAAGTATCTAAATCTAATTTTGCAAGTTGACTCAATCAGCAAAACTATGGTAATCTTAGTTTTGTTGAACAAAAAAACTACTTTTCCAGAACAAGACAAAAACAGAAGCTGTGAACTCTACGTGTGATGAGAAGCAGGTGGACCAGCTGATGAACTTTTGTGACTTGGAGAACAAAACTAACTATAGATTATACAGATGCTACAAAACAAATAATTTAATAAACTTGTACAAACAATCACACTGTTTTTTCTAGATGTTTTTTAAAGTCAGGTCTGGATTGACCAGCCTAAATCTGAAGAAACAGAATTAATAGTGACGGGACTGATGAGCTAATGGCTTGTCTGAATGCAGCAAATCCCAAAGAGGATTGTTGTAGTCTTTAAACCTCTCCAATCAAAAAAATAAAAAGCAGTGTTTCATACAATTATTATACATTTACACCATCCTTATTTTCACAATACATGGTTATTTAAATGTAATTTTGTGGTTATTGGCAAACATAAATAACAGCAGAAGTTAACTAAGCACTTCCTGTGTAGCCTGGGGTCACATCCAGCAGGAATTTCATTATATTTCTATCAAATTACCCAAATAATGCAAAATATATAGTAATAGTCCCCTTTGGAAGTGGGTCTGGTCAAACAAGTTACTGGGTTCTCAAAAGAGAGCAAGCAAGACCAGTTCCAAAGCAGATTGTTGTTGTCTTAAAATAACTCCAGATATTACAATTTCATAGCTGTTTACACAAAAGTAATTATTTAAACTTTTAAACCACTGTTAATTTCCCATCACATTTTTATTTTGGCAGAAATATTATAAAACTCCTGCCTGAATGGATCCCAGGCTACACTGGAAGTGTTACAGCTAGCTGCCGCTGTTTGACATAAGCTCAGAGTTCTGAGCTAATATCCGTGTAATACAACATTTTGTAAATGTTGTATTGTTTTCAGTGTAAATGTGCCAACAGAAGGCAAACGTGCAAGATTTGTAGGTAATATATCAAATCTACTTTACTTTTCCACACAAAAAACAGAAATGTGGTTAAATAACTCTTTAAGCAAATCATTTCCTTTAATTGATGTCTTCCTTTATTTGTGGCCATTTCAGCCAGATCATAACAAAAAAAGGCAAGAAATCAGTGGAACTAGTAAGTAAATAATCAATATATTTAGAAGTGGGTAGAAAATGTCAGATATCCAGCTTTATGTCTTTTACATGCCGTGTTGTTACCACTGAATCAGAAGTAGAGCATTAACTGAGAAATAACTCCAGGAGTTGTTCTGCTTCTGTTTACTTTGCCAAATTAGATTGTGGGTTTGTTACTTTGCTTTACTGTGACTGGGTGCAGGAGCACGTTGAGGGAGTTAGACTGAAGGTTTGGTCACATAACTCACAGTCCTCCATTGATATTAAATATTTTTTGTAGGAAAAAAAACTGCATTGTGGTGCAATGTTAATGTTAAAGTTTGTGTGAGCACATCTGTGCACAATGATCAGGTTGAAAATTTGCTGAGGAAGGTTTCCTACATGAATCAAATAACTGTTTAAACTCGGATAAGACACAATTCTCTTTAATGCTAATAAAGGATTCTTCAGATAAGTAAGCGCTGAACACATTCACATAAAAGGGAATGTCAGGTAAATAAGGGTAAAGTTAATTCCGTTCAGGCGATGAAAGTAACCGGAAGATCAACAAACTCCTAAATCCACATTAAATAAGTTCACTCAGCTGTAACACTGACATACAATAAAGACAAAATCGACCAAAATTAACCAAATACACTGACCAAATCAATTTAAAAATGTTATTTTATTTAATGACCTGGTGAACATTTGTACTCTAATCAAAGTTGTAGTGTTGATTATGTTCAATAAATTCAGTGTCAATAGTTTAAGAATAAATATATAAATGCACAAAGGTTAATCTACATTTATGGTGTTGATGGAAACCTGACACACGAATGTCCTGATGCATGCTCAGTAATCAAGGTCAATAAATCTGACAATGTCCTCTGGACGGGTTCTTCTTTGTTGAAAGGTTTTATTGAAGACTTCCTTCAGTCTGAGGAGCTGCAACAAACTCCGTCTTATTTATTAGAATTGTATCTCTTATGAGAAGTGCTGTTTATAAGATTGAGTTTGTTGCAGCTCCTCAGAATGAAGAAGTCTTTTGGATAAAAGGCCAAATGTTTTAACAAAGAACGATCCGTCCAGAGGACCCGACTCATCTTGTTAAACTGACACAAATTATTTTTCTTTCTTCATTTTTGTGTTGTTTCTTCACCTGTGGGTTCAGGAGCACATTTAAAGAAGTTTCCAACGAGATCGTGAGTTTAATAGTGACAGTTTTTATTTTTCAGCATAAAGAAGGTGCCATTAAAAATACATTGAAAGATTTAGCATTGTTTTGCTCTTACAGTGATCACGATTAGGGGACATTTGTCCCTCCAGCCTCCATTATTAGCCCAGACAGAACAATATGTAGCCTTTAAAATCTCTCACCGAGTCCACTTCCATCAGGTTGAGCTGAGAAGAAGCTGATAAAAGGCTTCCAGTGTCCGGAGACTGCGACATATCTGTGTTTACATTGATACAAGGACTGACAATCTTTATGTACTTCCGCTTCTCCGGCTGCTGCTTCTTCTTCGTGGGTTATTGACAGTTAGAAAACCAGCTCAATGGTTACATACCGCCACCTACTGCTGAAGGTGAGCAGCAACAGTGTAAAACACAAAGGAGCAAATAACAGATTTTTTTTAATCATTACAGTATTATTTAAAATCTGGATCAGTTGTATGATTCTAAAGGGTAAATTGTTTGTATTGTATTTATTTAATATGATAAAGTTCAAGTTCAACAAACAAGTTCAGTGTTTTTTGTCGGTTGCAGCAAAAAGAGTCACCTCTGTGACCACATTACATAAGACAAGCTGCGTTTGTTACTATTTAAAGAGCCTTTTTGTTGCAAACAATAGAGCAGTAAGATGGATTCTTATTTCTTTAAACAAAAGAATAAAAGTAAGAGCAACTTCTTGGAGATTTAAATGTTGGTCAATTTGTTTCTTGCTTTCTTTAATTACTTAAACTCTGTGAGACTGCCATTTGAGTGCCAGATTTATTTTTGTTAGACATTTTTTGTTGTGTTCACAATACTACAAAACACTTGATGTATGATTTTATAACACCATAGTCCAGTGCCACAAAAATAATATCGTTTTCAGAAAATTCTGAATGCTTTATTATTATCCTTGCACAGTGAAGTACAACAAAATTTTTGCAGTTGCAAAACTGTGTTTTCTGCATTTACAGCTATTTTTCTTAGTGGATTTGAAAAACACTGTGTTCAGAAAGTTGAATGAGTTGCAAAGTTGGGAACAGCTGATCACGTTTTGGCAGACCTTCACTTTTTAACACACCTCCAAAGAATGAGGATGAAAATGTTTGTGTGACTGCTGATTGGTCCAAATTACATGTGATGCACATGGCTCCATGGCCCATGTCACAAGCAGAGGTGTCGATTCAGTCTGTGCACCCAGCTCGGGGCTCCCCAGTGGCCACGGTGCCCTACTGACACTGCCTTTGACGCTAAGTTTGAAAGTCTGCCTCTCTGATGGTATGAGGGTGCATTAGTGTCTGGGGCTTGAGCAGCTTTCACATTTGTAAAAACAGAATTGATGTTGAATATAGAACAACGCCTGCTACGATGTAGACTTCTTTTTCAGGCCGTAATGACAACAGCAGAGTCTGGGAGCCCAACAGGCCATGGGCCAACATTCAGCTCCAAAAACTCCATCTGGTCTCCTCAGTTCCCAGATGTTTACAGATTGTTCTAATAAAGTTAAATCAGGTCCTCTGGACGGATTCAAAAAACAAAAAATAAAAACTTGTTGAAGCATTTTGTCTTTAATCCAAAAGACTTGGTCGAAGGATTAAAGATGAAACGTTTGAACAATTAAACAAATTTAAAAATCTGTCCAGAGGACCTGACTTAACTCTGATAGTTCTAGCTGGATTATTGAGCATGCATCAGGATATTTACAGACTGTTGTTAAAACACGGGGGTGCTTCACAGTGAACATATCCTTAAACCCCCAGTGTTTTGGAGATGTGCTGCTGACATGACATTCTAAATTATTTTATACGTTTACCATGTTCTATTGTGAATAAAATGAGTTTTTGAGATTTACAAATAATTACATTGTCCTGATGCTGCTCAATAATCTAGAAGATACAGTAAATCTAACAGGATTAAGTCAAGTCCTCTGGACGGATTCTACTTTGTTGAAACGTTTCATCTTTTATCTTTATCAGACTTCTTCAGTCTGAGACCCTGCAGCAAATTCACTCTTACAAATAGCTCCTTATGGATCAACCAGTTTGCTGCCGACAGCCAGAACTAGCTATTCACATGTAAAATGATGACGGTCCTGATGGGCCTCCTTTTACATGTGAATTGCTAGTTCTGGCTGTCAGCAGCAAACTGGTTGGTCCACTAGCTGCAGAGTCTCAGACTGATCGTTTTTTGGATAAAAGACGAAACGTTTCAACAAAGAAGAATCCGTCCAGAGGACCTGACTCGACGTCGTTAAATCTAATAAATAATAATAATTTAAATTTTCCACAGCATCTCGACTTTTGTTGCAGGACTGGGGTTGTATACCCTGCACACACTGACTGTCCAGTTTAATTTGTGTGTAGGAGTGATGGAGGCGACAGGAAAGAAGCTGTTCCTGTCAGATTTTAGATTTTCTTTATCTAAATTAAAATTCAACTTGCAAACATTTATTGAATCTTTACAGTGCATGTTTGCCTTGAGATGTGGAAAGTGAGTCTGGACATTTGAAATGGAGAATTTCTTGGGAATCCTGGGTGTGAATAAAATGACCTGGAAATAACTTGGAAGCAAGGAAGGAGACAATGAGAGCCGCTGAGGGAGTAGGAAAGGAGACAAGGACGCCTGTGGTGCGGTTTGGGACGCAGCCCTCCTCCAATCCGTTCACCTCCATTCACAGTAAATAGAAGCATGGAGGCTCCTCTCGGGATCTAGCGTCGAACAGCGGGGGGTAAAGACAGCGCCGCCCGGGCTCCTGCCGGAACCAAAACACGGGAGGAGCAGCAGGACACAACAAACGCCTTGTCATTAATATTCGAGCCGTCTCTCGTGCACAGCGAGCACTGTGGCCGGGGACTGGAGCATGAAGCGGACGGCCGTGGTGGTGGCCAGGCACAATGGCCTCGTCTCTCCTTTGGGGAACAACAATTCCGGGGCTTCCAGCATCGTCCCCCCGCCTCCGAGCAGAGCCACGGGCGGCTCGGGCTCCGCGGAGCCGCCGGCGGGCGGGACGGACGGCCTGCTGGATTTCTCCAGAGGCCCGGTCGTCAAGAGCGAGCTGGTGTGCAGATGGACCGAGCGAAGTTGTTCGAAGCCGAGGCTCGGGCGGACGGCGGCGTCCGTGTGCGAGCAAACTTTCAGCTCCATGCCCGAGCTCGTGGACCACGTCACCAGCGAGCACGTCGCGGCGGGGCTCGAGAGCCTCAGTCACGTCTGCATGTGGGACGAGTGTCTGCGCGGCGGGAAGGCGTTCAAAGCCAAATACAAACTCATCAACCACATCCGCGTGCACACCGGGGAGAAGCCGTTCTCGTGCGCGTTTCCCAACTGCGGCAAGATGTTCGCACGCTCCGAGAACCTGAAGATCCACACGCGCACGCACACGGGTAGGCTTCCTCCTTTCTGTCACTGCCCCACACACACGCGCGCACACACACACACGCGCGGACAATAGAGTGTGTGAATGCGTGTGATCCGTGAGGACAGCAGCTTCCTGAAACACACACAGCTTTAATAAGATCCGTCTCAGTGTGGAGGGACCCCCTCCATGTTTATATGGGCCCAGTTCCATTTCTCTCCACTGCGTCCTCCTTTCCTTCAGGGACCATCTCAGGATGGACAGATTAACAAAAGACAGAGGGGGAGGGGGGATTAAATTCAAAATAATTTGTTCAGATGTGCTCCAGACATTTGTGTGTTTGGCATCACATGCTGAGGAGGAGCAAAACGTCTGAATTACTAATCAGTCGTTCTTCCTCCGTTTCTGTTGCAGTTTTCTTATTCTCTCCTCGGTTTGGGAAGACATGTAAAAGTCCATCAAGCAGTCCATGTAGACAAAACGTGCATTAAACAAGACAAAACTGTGATTTCAAAGGACTGAGATTCCTCGCCCTTCTTTAAATTCAATTCAATTATAGCTCCAAGTCACAACAGAAGTCGTCTCAGGACTCCAAACTGAAACATTCATATATAAAATAATAATTGAACATTATTTTTCTGAGGAGCGAAAAACTCCCTCATGAGGAAGAAACCTTTAGCAGAACCAGGTTCAGGACAAGTGACCATCTGCTTCGACTGGCTGGATTTGGTAGGAACAGATATCGATCACATTAACATAGAAATAGTATCAGATGAAAATTATTCAATTTTAACAATTCATTTAAGGAAATGAGGTCAATTTGTCCTCTAGTAGTCTAAGCTTAAGATAGCATAACAAACCAACCCTAACTATAGGATTCATCAAAAGGAAAGTCTTAATCCCAGTCTTACAACTGGACAATGTGTCAGCCTCACGGACAGAAACTGGAAGTTGGTTCCACAAGAGAGGAGCCTGATAAATGAAAGATCTTCCTACCATTCTGCTTTTGGAAACTCTAGGAACCACAAGTAAACCTGCAATCTGAGAGCGAAGTGCTCTGTTAGGAAAATATGGAACAATAAGATCTGTAATGTAAGATGGAGCTAGGTTGTTGAGAGCTTTGTAGGTTAGAAGTAAGATTTTGAATTCTATTCTGGATTTGACAGGGAGCCAATGGAGAGAAACTAAAACTGGAGAAATATGATCTCTCCCACTAACTCCAGTTAAGACTCTGGCAGCAGCATTTTGGATCAACTGAAGACGTTTTAAAGAAGTATTTGGACATCCAGATAATAAACGATTACAATAGTCCAGTCTAGATGTGACAAATGCATGGACCAGTTTTTCTGCATCATTTTTAGATGTTTCTAATTTTAGTGATATTACGCAGGTGGAAGAAGGCAGTTCTAGTAACGTTTTTAATGTGGGGGATAAAAGACATGTCCTGATCAAAAATAACACCAAGATTTTTAACATTAGAGCTGGAGGACAGATTAATGCCGTCTAAGGAGGGAGAAAGACTGAAAAATTCATTCCTAAGGTGCTCAGGTCCAAAAACCAAAACCTCAGTCTTGTCTGTGTTCAACAGGAGAAAATTAAGGGTCATCCAGGTTTTTATACCTTTAAGACATGCTTGTAGTTTAACTAACTGATATGATTCATTGGGTTTCATGGACAAATATAATTGTGTGTCATCAGCATAAAAATGGAAATTTATCCCATGCTGTTTAATAAGTCAAGTCAAGTCATATTTATTTATAGAGCACATTTAAAACAGAAACTGTTACCAAAGTGCTTAACAAAAATATCACATCATCAAATAAAAAGTAGCAAGATATATTTACAGCACATGGAATAAAAATATAAAACCAAAAACAATTAGAAACAATGAAATACTAAATCAGATCTGATGACCTTGTGTTAAATAGGAATAATAACAAAAGCATAAACAGAATCAGTATCAATGAAAAACCAGATCTAAAGCTGATCACCCTGTGTTAAATGTCAGTGAGTACAGATGTGTTTGTAGGAGAGATTTAAAAGCAGAGACTGAGGTGGCCTGTCGAATGTTGATGGGCAGATTGTTCCAAAGTTTAGGGCCCACGACTGAGAACGCTCGATCTCCTCTGAGCTTCAGCCTGGTTTTTGGTACGGCCAAAAGCAGCTGGTCTGATGATCTCAAAGCCCGAGAAGGAGTATAAGGATGAAGAAGGTCAGAGAGATATGATGGTGCAAGGCCGTTAATGCACTTGAATGTCAGCAGGAGAATTTTAAAATCAACTCTGACACGTACAGGAAGCCAGTGAAGGGAAGACAGAACCGGAGTAATGTGCTCAAACCTGCGAGTTCCTGTTAGTAGCCAAGCTGCCGCGTTTTGTACGAGCTGGAGACGTGAAAGTGAAGCCTGACTAACCCCAACATAAAGTGAGTTACAGTAGTCCAGCCGGGTTGTAATAAATGCATGGACTAGTTTTTCAAGGTCGGATCTGGACAGAACGGACTTAAGCTTTGCTATCTGCCTTAGCTGAAAGAAGCTTTTTTGTAGAACAGAGTTGATCTGTTTATTAAACTTAAAGTCCGAGTCTAACACTACCCCGAGATTGGTAACTGACTGCTTTAGATGAGGCTGAAGGGAGTCCAGGTTTACAGGATCAGTGACAGTGGTAGAGCTTGGGTTAAACACAATGACCTCTGTCTTCTGATCATTAAAACTCAAGAAGTTTGCAGCCATCCAAGTCTTGATGTCATCAAGACATTTTAACAAAGGGTGGATGGAGCAGGAACTGTTTGGTTTTAAAGGCAGATAGATCTGAGAATCATCGGCGTAACAGTGAAACGAAATACCATGTTTCCTCAGGATTGACCCCAAGGGGAGCAGATACAAATAACTTTACCAAATGGAAGCATTTTTAAAGTAAAGAGTATTGGTCCAAGAACTGAACCTTGAGGAACTCCATGACTAACTTTGGTGTATGAAGAAGATTTATTATTTACATTTACAGACTGGACTCTATCAGACAGATATGATTTAAACCATTTTAGAGCTGTTCCTGTAATCCCAATATCATATTCAAGCCTCTGTAATAAAATATTGTGATCAACTGTATCAAATGCAGCACTGAGGTCTAACAGGACCAGTGTAGACACAAGTCCATTGTCTGAGGCCACGAGAATATCAATATTTAGAGCACCTCAGACATGTTTCAGTTTAAGCGGTCACAGAAAGTTGGAGTTTTACACGACTGAACTGGTGTTTTCATGGCTTTTATTGCTGTTTTACATTTTATGATTGTTTGAAGATTCTGCCAATGATGAACTCGGGTTTTTAAATTTAATCTAACCTCAAGTGTTGAAGAATTCACCACAGATTCCAACATGTCGATGTTTTTTAAACAAAAGCAAGGAAAGAAAAGCTGAACCCCCACCTGAACCATCAGCTGCAGAACCTCCTGTAGCTGCAGGAACTCTCAATAGTTAGTTTCTGTATCAGTTATAAGGTTGTGAAGACATTTTGGCCCACTCTGTTTTACAACATCACTCCAGTTCACTGAGGTTTGCAGACATTTATTCTGCACTCCTAATCCCACTGCAACATTTGCCTCTAGATACGTTGGTAAACAGAGTTCATGGGTGACTGAAGGTAAGAGACCAGCCCACAGCATCACATCTCCACTACCATGCTTGACAGATGAGCTGTTTGCTTTTCTTCCATCATGGATCTGTGTATGGCCGGACATCTTTGGTGTCATTTCTCCACATGACATTAGAAAGTCCTTTTTATTACTAATTATTCAGGGTGAATTTTATGTTAATATTTGATTCATTCATTCATTATGTTAACCTGCTTCTTCCTTTTTGAGTCACCGGGTACACCTGGACAGGTCTCCAGTCCATCACAGGGACACATGTCTCCAGTCCATCACAGGGA